TGTTGAGTGTGGACCCCTCGTCCACGGCTAATTTGTCTTCCTGCTGCAGCAGTTTGCATAATATATTTTGGGTGGCAGGTTGTGGCTGCTTGCTCAAGGACCTCTCGTCGGTGCCTTTTCAAAACACCTTTTATTTCCGCTAGTGATAACACAGCTGAGCTGGGGGGGGGGGGGGGGGGTGCTATTTTTTGGTGGGTGCTATTTTTTGGGGGACTGTGTGTTCAGCTAACAGCTAACGGGACTGCCAGTACACACACTGCTTACTCTTATTGTTGTGGTTTAAACTTTCCACGAGGGTAAAACCTGTAAATAAGTGGTATATATAATTATTTTTTCACCACTAAAATAATGATTGATAAAATAAGGCCTGTGGTATACACAAGATTAAGAGATTTTAAAGGGTCGTCATAAAAATAGTAGATATTGCTCCCGTTAAAGAAGCTTTAAAGTCTCTGTTAAAAACCAAAAATCCTCACGCAGACATGGGTTCCCCATGCGACATAGCAGGTGTTGGTGTGAATATATTTTGGAATATATAATTATCAATGACAAATGTATTTGGCAGAATCTGTATTTAAAAGTACACAAAATGATCATCCGACAGAGTAAATATTTCTGATATTGTAATTCTGATTAGAGAAAAGTACTGTCAGTAGAGTAACAGCAGAAAAAAAAGTAATAACAATTAGTACATTAAGTCATAACAATTGCAGTTAAAATAGTACCGCTGAGGCGAGTGCATATCCAGCCAGTTCTGAATTGCCAATGTGCCCACAGAATATGCTGATAACAAATGGCAGGAGGAAGTTCAGAAACTGTGACGCCACCTGTAGAGAGAAAACATTTTTAATTTCAAATCAGAATTGATCTATCTAGAATTTATTTATCATGTGCAACTGATGAAATAAATTATTGCTATTAGCTGGACTCAAACAGCTAATGCAACTTTGTTAAATCAAAAGGTTTAGACAGGTTCACACCCGGGTTCAACATTGTGGGCGCCATGGCATTTGATTTGCGTATTGTATTCAAGACTGGTAATTGATTGCATTGTTCAAGATTGGTCTGTAAGAGTATACTTGAGTCAACTAATTGACTGAGCATGTTGCAATTGGTTGTGTACGTTTCTTCTTTCTGTAACAACTGTAGCATAGTATTGTTTATAGTCAATGTTTCTGTTTTTTCCCTCATTTTAATTTGCTTTGCTTTTTATCTCTGGCACATTAACAGCAATGTTTTATTAATGCGCATTGTACCTTATTAAATAAACCAATAAATTAAATTAAACTAATTATTGCACCAGATGGAGACAAACATGTTTGGCAAACTGTTAGCAATCTCACATCCCCGAGGGTGCAGGGACACAAAATGGATTGTTTTCTATGTCAAAAAAGTGATGTGATAACCATGGATATATGCTGTGAATGGATCGGGTTCCGTCTACATCCAGGATTTGGACGAACCCTCCATCCCAACCCGCACATTCCGCTCTGCATCTGCCAAACGGCTTGTTCCTCCCTCACTGAGAGCAAAACACTCGACAAGATCACGACTCTTTGCTGTCATGGCGCCGAAATGGTGGAATGAGCTCTCTGATGACATCAGGCCCTTGTAAAGACACACCTCTTCAGACTCTACCTTTACTAAAAAACACAAAAGAAATTGTAGCACTTATAATGGCTCTGATCTATAGCAAGTTGTAAATTGGCTTATTTGATGAAATTACACTTTCTTGTTATTTGTTCTTGAAATGTTGAAATGCTGGTCTTCATCAGTAGGTCTACAGTTAAAATGCATTAAGAACCCCTGACACAGCAACCCAAACACCTTCTCCCCCACCTCCTGCTGACACGTCAACTTTCCCCTACTCACCAGTGGACCTGTGAGCCGTAAGACTTGATAGAGTTCCTCTCTGTAAACCAGTGGTACCAAACGCCTCACCCAAGCACACCGAAAAAGTTTGGAGCTGACTGCAGCCACGGCTGCGTCGTCTCCCTCGGGCCTCATTGTCTTGGCAACTGAGACCCCATCAAGGGGCCCTGCACCCGGCAAAGGGTGCGCTGGGTCCGGGGAACCCAGCTTCTCCATTTAAACACAGAACAAGAAGAAGAGAAGTGAGAAAAGCAAAAGGGACAAAGGAGGCGGGGTGAAGTGGGAAAAGAGTGAGTGGAGAGAGAGGCAGAAAGTCTTTCTGGGTTTAGAATTACATCACATATACTTCACTGAAGTTATTGATTAATATGTTGTTTGCAGAAAGAGAGAGGTGAGAGACTAAGCGCGAAAAAGAAAACTGAGCAGGGCTGCTGAATGTCTCTCAGGAAGGAGGGAATGCAGTGTGTCAGTATTTGAGGTGTGTTTGTATGTGTGTGTAATGTGTGTGTCGGCTCACTAGTAATCTGACGAAGAATGCTTGTTTGCACGGGGAACACAGAGGCTCTGATGGCATAAACTCTGCAAGCGTTGATTAATATTTAAGGACAGCAATGCCGTTTTTTGTTAACAGCTGATCTGCAAATGTACTTTGACCTTTCACTTTTTCCCTGGAGTCGGCCTCCTCCTGTACTTGTTACACACACACACACAAACACACACACTCACTTGTGTGAACAAACATGCCCTCATCATTTTTAACTCATCAGATCTCTCCAACACTTATTCAACGATATCAACAGCGTTCTTTAAATGATGTGATAGATTGCGACCAAAATTTGTACGGGTGCGACTACAATGTTTCCTAGGTCGCACCGGTGCACCTGTCCTCGCATCCGCTGCCTCTCAACGAACAAAGCGTTTATTCTCCTTTGACGGAACTCACTCATGGTTGCATCATATTGTGGTCTAAACCAATCAGAGACAGAGATGCAGAGTTGCAATTGCAACAAACTTGATCTGACAATACAGATCAAAGAGGTTGTAGGTTTTCTTTTAAGCTAGTATCATGTGCTACTTTTAAAAAGTCCAAAGCTTACCATTAAAGTTCACTACATCAAATGCAAATGCATGGGGAAAGAGGTTGGTGGTTTGAGGAGGGCATAAACATTTTTAATGCTATGCCAAAATCTCAATTGGGATTTATTTTGCTTCCTTTTTGTTTTTCGAGAGCAAGTGAAGGATGTCAGATTGAAAAAAAGGGATGGCAGATTCAGGTTTTAAACTAGCCTTATAGTATGTGCTCGGGGTTGGGTCAGGATAGAGGGAACTGCATAAAAAAGTAGTAACAGCAATAATTCTACATGAATTTCAGTTCAATGAGAAAAACTATCTTCGATTAGTGGATTATGGGTGATCCAGATCTGTTAAACCAACCATATTTTGCCGCAATTGCAATCAGCCAATCATGTCTCTGCTGTCAAACTTAATTTTAGGCAATGTCTTTGCACCCTCCAACTCCAGTCATCACGTCCTTTCTCATCACATCTACAGCATCCTCTTTGTCCCATCACCACCACTGTAGAGTTGCAAAGCGGTTGATGTTTTAAAATACATTTTACCAACTTTAAATGCATAAGTGGATATGTTTGTATTATATCTGCACTGTTTAACAAAACAAGTACTGTGTATATTTTGTAGGTCTCCTACTTGCAGCTGAAGAAACGTTTCCAGCTTGGTCGGTGCCTCTAGTAGGTAACAGACTGAGGACTGTTGGAACAATCATGAGAACACCGGGCCTTAGTAAATATTAGGGCGGTCCATAGACTTTAATTTTTTTTAAATTAACTAATTAAATCGCACATTTTGAAATTCAGTTATCACGATTAATTAATGTTACAATGTTGTTTATAATGAATGTTTGTTTTCTTCTAAAGACTAAATCTTAAAAGTAATGAGTAATCACTTTAGAAAGTGTGTATTTTAGTTAATTGTTAATGTTATTTTAAACACAAAACTCCACACATTTGATCTTGGAGGCCGAATTACACCTGGTGGAACATGTTCAACTAGCGACTCTACCTGCTGTCCTCGTGCACTTTGCTCTCAGCTCTCCATCATTTGACAGCTGTGTTTGTGCCCACATTTAGCCAGAACGTTTTCAAACCACAGTCTTTTGGGGACCCAGTGGTGGTCTTCTGCAGACGTTAGATGTTGAGATGGAAGTAGCATAGCAGCTAGCTTAGCCTAGCAGCTAGCTTAACATAGCAGTGCTTAAAGGGATGCGTTTGCTAGTCACCCCCTCCTGAAGTAAACAAACGAACGTTAACTACGTTAAAATAATTTATTGCATTAATCTAGGCCACATTAATCGCATGGATTAATGGATTAATGTTGACAGCCTTAGTAAATGAGACTTTGAAAGCATAGTATTGCAAGCTATCAATGACTTCTAAAAGGAAGAAAACAAACAAAACAAAGCCAACCTTTGGAGGAATCTAGTTTCGTAAGCTAAAGCTAATTTAAACAGGTTTATTAAAAAAAAAAATAGAATAGTACTTAAACTAATATAAAATACATAATTGACAAAATATATTTGATATAAAACTATAATAAATGATAACATAAGGACATGCCATTAATAAATGGCCCACTTTAAGTGCCATTTGTTAACAAGTAATCCAAAAAATACAAAAGAGAATGTTTGACTTTTTAGAAAATTGGCCTGTTCATCAATTTTGTAACATTACAATCTCAGTCAGTGAAAAATAATGATGCTGTCGCTCTGCAAACAACACAACAGAGCAACAGGCCTTTGACATGCATGCTCCACACAAAGGTGAAAGTATGTGTGCGTTGGTTGGTGGCTGGCTGACAAATGCATCAAAAGGGAAAGGAGTTGACATATCATCAATTAAGTTTATATGGCAAACTTGTTGGCATTATTAATGATTTGAAGTCACCTGTGAATTCAATATTCAACCCCTTTAAACTCATCCTTTACAACAGGGGTCCTTGGTAGGTGGCAGCAAAGAAAGAAAGATTCGTGATTTTAGTCAGGCGGGTTAATAAGTGTCTTGTAATTCCAGTTTTGGCATCTCTGTAACATCCTCCTCTCCTGTAACATCGACCTAGATGTCTACATTCAGAGGTCAAAGAACGCTCAGCGGCTTGGGGTCAGGTCCTGTGGGGTCAGTGTTGTGGGACTTGAGTCATTAGTCCAGTTCTGGGTAAAGTTGGTCCTGCTCTGGATGGAGGGCTCCTGTACGGGGAACGCGATGTGAAAAGCGACACCTGTGACCAAAACCAGAGCTGAAACCAAGAAGATCAGTCCACGGCGCCAGATCAGCTCAGAGACAGAAAGCGGCGCTGAAGGTTTGGTGTTTGAGGTCTTTTGGGTCCCTTCGTCTTCCCCCACAGGTCGTCCTGTATTTGTGTTGTCGGCCTCAGCCTCGTGTCCACCTTTCAGCTCCTGATCCTGGGTGCTGACTGGACCGTAGCCCCCCGCTGCAGGAGCTCTTTCACCGTCCAACTGGGCCTTCAGGGTGCACAGATTCTGCTGTCAATCATTATGTAAATGACAAACCCTGACAAGGCAGAAACTCCCATTTACTATTTATTATGCACTTACTTCATCAGGACAGGAAGAGATGTCCATCACCATCCCTTCACTCAGCTCTGGGCGCTTTGGTATCAACGTAACTTTCTTTCCAGCTCGCCGTTGAGCCTGAAAACATGATGAGGTTCATGTGAGTCCATCCATCCATCCATCGTCAAACCGCTTATCCTGCACACAGGGTCGCGGGGGGGCTGGAGTCCATCCCAGCCAACTTCGGGCGATAGACGGGGTACACCCTGGATTGGTCGCCAGCCAATCGCAGGGCTACACAGAGACATACAACCATTCACACTCACATTCACACATCTACGGGCAATTTAAAGTCCCCAATTAACCTGATCCCCAGAGCATGTCTGTGGACTGTGGGAGGAAGCCGGAGAACCCGGAGAGAACCCACGCAGACACGGGGAGAACATGCAGACTCCACACAGAAAGGCCACTGGGCGGAATCAAACCCAGGACCTTCTTGCTGTGAGGCGACAGTGCTAACCACCACGCCACCGTGCCGCCCTTTTCATGTGAGTCATACATATATATATATATATATATATATATATATATTGTTAATTCATGTTTAAAAAAATGGATAAGCATTCACTCACACACAAAAAAATTCATATCATATCATTCAAAATCATATTGAATGCATTTATTTGTGGCTCGTATGAGTGTGTATGTAATGTTCAGCACTAACGTTTCTATTTGTCCTTGTTTTGTGAATTGAGAGATAACTTGCAATGCGTCAACGCCAAAGCATTGGAAAGAAAAATGGAAAGAAAATTGCAAGAAAACAATATATTGAAATGCTGTCATTATAATTACAACAGTTTATATACCATTCATTGCTTATACAAAATATACGAGCATCCTACCTTTAATGTTACTTTCTTCCAGTTTAGTTTGAAGATTAGAATGAGGAAGAAACCCGTCTCCAAGAATATACATGTTAAGATACCGAGCCACAAACCTAATCAGAGACACAAAAGAAGGTTTAAAGAAGAAAGATCTACTTTGTGTTCACTTCATACATTGACATAAGAACATTGTGTAACAAGAAAACTACCAATATACTTAATGTTTATGAGAAAACGACTAAGACGCAGCCACACTAACAGCTATTGGACAAATTTAAAGGTTGACCTGATGATGGTGCTAGATGAAAAGTCAGGGATCACCAAAGCATTAAAGCATTTCATCTAAAGCCATCATTGTTTGTATCAAATTTCCTGACACTAAAGAACGCACTGACTAAAAAGAGCAGAAGGGTTATTTGAGGCATTGCGCACTGAACTACAAATACATTGCATTATAAATTAGCTGCCCTCATATAATTATTAAATTCTTAGGTATTGTGGTAGAACCAAAATAAATGAAATCTAACCTTAAATATTCGGGTAAAATGTATTTCGGATAGAGGATTCAAGTTAAAATCAAGTTGCTGTACAAGTAAATGGAAGTGACTCACTGATCACTGACTACTGCTGGATTCAATTTGATCAAGTTCATTCTTTTTAAAACACAACTAAGTCTGTTTTCAGGTCTGGAGGAGTAAAAGTGAATACATTGTATAAGTTGTATAATGCCTTTTGTAGCTGGGGAGGGAGCTGTGACATCACTTATAAATAACCTCAAATTATGACTCCTGAATCTGCATCTGTCAGGATCAGGCCTCCGGGTCTGAAAAGTGAAGCCAGTGTGGAGGATCTTTGTGTATAGATTTTTCTTAATAGCCATCAGGGGGTGACTCTTCTCAAAGTACGTCAGATTATACATAAGTCGATAAGAAAATGTTCCTCATGACTAAAGCGCTAGTTTCAAGTCTTCTTCAATACAAAATGTTATTTTAATTTCGAAAATGGTTGTCCCATTTAGAGTAAAAGAGATTATAAAGCATGTTCGCTTTGGGGTGTGACAAATTTGTTGCTACTACGTTGTTTTCTGATTTCAGAGTTGTTTATGTTTTCCAATTTGAATTGTGACCTTTTTCACAATGTGTTTTCAGTTCAGTTAACTGTGGAGTTTTGGTAGCTCAAAAATGTCTACGCGTCAGTTTTACTTAACTCTTATTGTTTCACTTCTGGTGGCAGAAGTGACACAATAAGATGGCCCCAGCTCAAACGTTGAACTCAAGGCCAGTCGGTCAAGTGTTAGGTCAATGTAGGCAACAGTTTTTTTACAATGAAGAAGAATAAAGACATTTGTGGATCTACTTAGTTGTAATTTTTCATTATTATTATTCTTAACTGTCCATCTAGTCCAACAGGATTGCCATGCTAGGACCTCAGAGCCAAAAAAGGAGCAAAGATATTCATAACTTGTTTGCAGAAACATACAATAGGAAGGTTAGGAACATTACCTAATATTCTGAGCTTAGTAGCAAACATCAGAGCTATTCCCATTGGTAGACCGATGAAGTAGAAAGACACCAGGTTGGACAAGGCAGCAATTTTCTGCATTCCAGATCCGATAAGAATTCCTAAGCAAACACACTGAAAACATAGACAAATAGAAACAATTGAAAAAGGGTTGCATACTCGTCAACACAAGCTCAATGCAAAAGAAAAGAAGAACGTTTATTCTGTTCTGTCAAAACGTACCAGAAGAGCATCAAAGAACTGCACAAACGTGTAGACTGTGAGGTTATCTGAGACAATCCCCACAATTTCTCTGCAGACAGTAAAAGAAGATCATCAAAATAAAACATAGTTGTCGTTACAAAGTGCAGGAACGAAGGTGTGTTGGTTTAAGACTCACTCATCAGATGTAAATATGTAGCCAACGACGGACTTACAGCCAGCGAGGATACAACCCTGGAACACAGCAAGCACTCCTGCAGAAAGACGTGACACAAAAGATAACATTTGACAGGATGTGTGATTCACAAAATAACAAACAGCTTTGAAATAAACGTTGCATGAATCTCACAAGTATATTTTTGCTTGTGTTCTTAAACAATAAAAAAAGGGATCAATGAACCTGCCAAACAATCAGAATCCAGAATTCTCTGTGTGCACGGTTTGGATTGTAGTAATTTCATGTTTGTGTTCATAAGTATAGGTTTTCATACCTGCCAGAACCAGCACTACTTTGCAAGTGACTATGGCCCTGGTAGTGTTCCCGGCACCCAGAGCATTCCCAACACGCACACAGGCAGCTGCACGGATACCCAGAGGGAACTGCAAGGACCCCATGTTTATTTTTGATGTTAAAATGAGTTACACAATTTTGGGGAACAAACGTATTCAGTGTCTTTCTGATGATTTGATGATAATATTGATATTCCGAAGCCAGGAGGCAGTCAGCTTGGCTTAAAAACAGGAAGAAGGGGGACAGCGAGCCTGCTTCTCTCCAGTTCTCCAAGTTCAAAGGCCAGTAGAATATCTGGCTATGAAAAAGTAATTGTTGCCAGCCACATACCAACAAGCAAATTGCATATTTTCATTTTTTAATACTGAACTTTGGACAGAGCCATGCTAGCTGTTCTCCTTTAACGCTACGTTAAACTAATCGCCCCACAACTAATTGTGGGTGTTGATCCTTACATTCTCATCTAAGGTAAATAAGATAATTTCCCAACATGCTGAATGCAGATAAATGTTCCATTAAACTCATTGAATGATGCATACCATAGATATTAGAATTCCTATTTCCAACAACACATGCTGGGCCGCCAGATCCACCTCTCCCAGTAGACCTAGGAGGATAAAGGTCAGATTCAGACAATATCAAAGATGGGAAACGGCACACAGTCTGCTGTTGTTGTATTAATCCAGCAAAGGTCAAATATATGACTAAGAGAAAAGATGTATTTGAGAAGTTTTCTTTCCCATATAACGCATATTTTAGATCATTTTTATTATTAATATTTTGTTTATTAAAAGTTAGCCGCTTGTATATTTACCTCTTTAGCACGTATGCAGTAAATCAGTTCAAGATAATAATTTGTTGATTAACTCGGCAATAGCAAACAAAAGCTGTTTTTTGCAGTTATTCTAATGGTTTAACTATTGGTTTGTAGAAAAATAAACACTCAAAATGGCTTTAAATCTTTTTCAACACTGACCAGCAAGGAAACCTCCAATCTCCCAGATCCACCAATCAAACCAGACCAAGCATGTACTGGGAATAGCCAGCTTCATATAGGAGCCCCACTCCTGCAGACAGTCGGTGGACCAGCCTGCAAAAAGTTTAACACAGAAGGATTGTACTCAATGGGCCTGTAGTGGGGGACAGATTTCTGATGCAGATTTCTGAACACAACTGCTTTTGTGCGTCATTTGCCTTTTCATCCAGTCATGTATCAGCAGAAATGCAGATTTTGACATTTAATACTTTAATACATTTAATACTGTGTGTATAACTCACCTCCCCATGTCTCCTGATGGAGCTTCTTCCATCGGATGTAGCCAAACAGCAGCAGGCAGATGGAGATGTGAGAAAGGGCGTTAGCTAAAGCTGATCCACTGCAAACACACATAATAGAACATATTTAAGTAATATTGAAAGAATGTCACGGTCTAATTTGACTCTATGTCTCTAGACGACTTACAGGACTCCCAACTCGAGGCTGTAGATTAAGAAGTAGTTGGCCCCCACATTAAAAACGTTTGCTGCGGCTGCTGTGTACAACTGAGGCATAATGATCCCCTGGCAGACAAAAAAAAGACACGCAAACCACAATCAGCTATCCCATTTGTACAGCTTCTATTAAAACGGCATTAATGACATCCGTGCAACTCTGCGACAGACAAACAAATTCATCACGTAGATAGCATCCTGGTAACAAGACTAGACAAAGACAAACTTTGGCTGCCATCACTGGATCACTACAGTTATTGCAATTTCTCCTCAAGGGGGCATAAATGTCTAAATACATTTAACAGTTTGTAAGGAACCGAGTTAAATGCAATATTAACCCTGATATAAGTGTGTTTGTAAGGAAGAAGGTGTCAATATCCGGTAATGTTTTTTGCATTCAGGAGGTCAGTAAAGGTCTCATGGCGTGTTAAAGCTGTTAAAGCTGTCAGATACCTATGAGATCGGTGGCACAAGTGACCTGGGATTGGCAGAGAGACTGAGGTGGGATGTATTTGTCCTAGTTAGTCTACGACCGTGAGTAGATTGTCAAGCATGATGAGATAACGTGTTTTGCCGTACGCTACGGCCCACTGCCGCCTGTGTTCTGTTCACTACCAGTACAACAAGCACGGTAATGTCTCCATGTGAGGATGTTGTTAGATTTTTTGGAAAAACAAAAATGCCATCCTTACGGTGGCAAAAAAAGTAAAGTCAGATTATCATCATGGTCATAACAATTGGGCACAAATGGGCAACTACATTGATCTGCTCACATGGCTAAAGAAAGCTATTGATTCAACATAATGGACTCATAAAACTGCAGACACAGTTCTTCTCTCTGTAAACACAAAACCCGGATATGAAGTGGTTGTTTCTTTCTTATTTCCTAAATTTGGATTGGGAAAACAAACACATTGCAGTTGATTTATTGAAAAATGGCACCCATTGAAACTCAATGCAGAAGAAGGGCTATAAACTTACTTGGTTTTGTAGGTAGGAAACTTGCAGCTCGTACAGAAACATGGCCTGTAGAGGGTAATATAGGAGAGTTTTAAAGAGTAAAACTGCCAGATCGCTCACATATAAACCAGGATTCTAAAACACACATTACATACAGAGGCTATTTCTAATGTGCTAATACCTGCAGCATAACGAAGAACATAACATATGTTGAACTAGGAAGGAAATATTTTAGTCCATATTGTTTAATCAACTCACTGGAACAGCAGGAATAAAGGCCAGTGCGTAGATTTGGGCAATTCTGAAAGGGTTGCAAACACAAACATTTGTTTAGTAGAGCAAACACACAAACAATAATTCACGGTTTGCCCAGACATAACCCTTCTTTTTGGAGATGCAATTTCTATTTACATTTAATTCCTGCTTTGTAGATTTACTTCCACAATATGAAATAAAAATAAAATCTAACTACAAGGTGAAATCACAAATTCAAATGCCAAGGCTGCAACTTCAGACATTTAAAAATAGCAACATGAAGATAAATGTAAGCACAACCTCAAGTACTTCTAGACACACTTACCTGTAATAATACACTAAGATGCACTGTCGATATGAACAATCACGGCACTAAACCAAAGGGTGCCCCTTCTCAAACTAACATTTTGTCATCAATCGAGCATTCATAAACCAGGGATTTACCTCGCCACCTCAGTGTCTTGGTGTAACATGAGCAGCAAGTTGTGAGTATTGATGAGAAGAGCCCAACAGGGCAAACAAAACAACAGCAAGATCAATGAACTCCGTTGAAGGATTACTCCCACACGTCTCATGTTCCTACCGCCGTACGTCTGCAAAACACAAATGAGACAAAATACAAGTCGATCTGCTTGAGTAGGTTGAAAATGAACCTTTCTCTAAATAGCAGACAATACAAATTAGAACATTATAATATTGTATGTGGTTGGCTCACCTGAGAAATGAGTGTGTCACAGGCCACGTTGAGGCCATGGCCCGTTGAAGCTGTGGTCGTGTTGATGATCTGAAAGGTGAAAAGTAAAAAACATAAAAGTCTGACTTCAGTTATAAAAAGTATATATTTTTAGACAATTGTCCTTTTTTGTTTATGTTCATAACAATATGTGTATTATTGTATATCCAAAATAGAATTCAATATTTTGCAAACCAAAGAGAGACTAAACTAATGCTGAAGTTGTCTATGTGCATCAACAATGTGTAACCTAATGAGATGTCCTTTTACACTCAAAAAAGCAATGGGTTAAAAATGCAATGTAAGTCGCTTTGGATAAAAAGCATCAGCTAAATGACCTGTAATGTAAATAATTAAGTAATTTTACACCACTCAAGTCAATGTGTTTTTGTTTTGGAATTCTCTGTTAAAAAGATAGGAAGTGACTAACTTAATTAGTACATTAAGTAATAACAATTGGAGTTAAAATAGTACCGCTGAGGCGAGTGCAAATCCAGCCAGTTCTGAATTGCCAATGTGCCCACAGAATATGGTGATAACAAATGACAGGAGGAAGTTCAGAAACTGAGACACCCCCTGCAGAGAGAAAACAACATTTTGAAATAAATGATTGCTATTAGCTGGACTCAAACAGCTAATGCAACTCTGCAAAGAATTTTAAATTGTTTAAAGTTCAGGCAGGTTCACACCCAGAAACACTATGGCCGCCATGTGATTTTTATTTGCGTATTGTAGGCAAGACAGGTAATTGATTGCATTGTTCGATTTTGGTCTGTAACAGTACACTTTACGCACTGAATATAGAAACCGGATATAACAGTGCAACAGTCGGTGGCCTTTACAAATGAAACGGTAAAACCAATTGACTGAGGCCCAATGGTAGATCTAACACTAGGTAGACTTTCCATTAGTTATTTTGAGGAACTTTTAACTGAGTATAAATCAGTGTCAATTAATACTTATAACCTGCCATAGCAATCCAAACACCCATTACCACCACTTCCTGCTGACACTTCAACTTTCTCCTACTCACCAGTGGACCTGTGAGCCGTAAGACTTGGTAGAGTTCCTCTCTGTAAACCAGTGGTACCAAACGCCTCACCCAAGCACACCGAAAAAGTTTGGAGCTGACTGCAGCCACGGCTGCGTCGTCTCCCTCGGGCCTCATTGTCTTGGCAACTGAGACCCCATCAAGGGGCCCTGCACCCGGCAAAGGGTGCGCTGGGTCCGGGGAACCCAGCTTCTCCATTTAAACACAGAACAAGAAGAGAAGTGAGAAAAGCAAAAGGGACAAAGGAGGCGGGGTGAAGTGGGAAAAGAGTGAGTGGAGAGAGAGGCAGAAAGTCTCTCGGTTTTGAATTACATCACATTTACTTCTCTGAAGTTATTGATTAATATGTTGTTTGAAGAAGGAGAGACGTGAGAGACTAAGGCGCAAAAAAGAAAACTGAGCAGGGCTGCTGAATGTCTCTCAAGAAGGAGGGAATGCAGTGTGTCTCAGTATTTGAAGTGTGTTTGTATGTGTGTGTAATGTGTGTGTCGGCTCACTAGTAATCTGACGAAGAATGCTTGTTTGCACGGGGACACAGAGGCTCTGATGGCATAAACTCAAACGCAAGCGTTGATTAATATTTAAGGACAGCAATGCTGTTGTTTGTTAACAGCTGATGTTATCTGCAAATGTACTTTGACCTCTCACTTTTGGCCTGGAGTCGGCCTCATTCATTCCTCGCTCTTCTTTGCCGTCAGTGGATTATGGGCGTTCCAGATCTGTTAAACCAATCATATTTGGCCACAATCTCCATCAGCCAATCATCTCTCTGCTGTCAAATTTAATTTTAGCCAATGTCTTTGCACCCTCCATTACCCCATTCAACTCCAGTCATGACGTCATTCTCAGTATCACAACTTTCATCAGTTTTGTAACATTACAATCTCAATCACTAAAAAAGTGAAAATAATGATGCTTTGTGTAAGAAACACAACAGAGCCAGTCCTTTTACACATGCAACGCCACTTAAGTGATCACATGTGTGGAAGTGTGTGTTTGTTGGTGGCAAATGCATCAAAAAGGAAAGAAGTTCATCAAAGACACATCATCAAGTTGATATGGCGAACTTGTTGGTTTTAAGAAAACAAAATTCTTATTTTTTCCCCCTTTCCCTTATTTTATTTTGAAAATTTGACCGAATCATCTCCCAATTACATGCGCTTTGTTCCTCTTGCCACAATTACCCCGAGCGTTTTCTTTGCCATGCGCACCCCCAGTCGGCGATCAACACAAGTATTTTATAACACGGAACCGGTCCGCGAGGCAAACATGTTTGGGGACCCCTGCTATCAGCAGAATACACTTTAAATATCAGAATAAAGTACTGATCATGCAGAATAATGACAAAAACAGAACAATCGGATAATATGACACTATGTACTAGGGGTGTAACGATTCATTTTAACAACGATTCGATGGTTGCCGATTCGATTCAGTGACTTGAAATCGATTCAGTAACTTTACTGGACAGTGCCGGCAAAGTTTCTGAGATCCCTGTTGTTTCTTGTAAGGAAATCCGGTTTAAATTAATTATGGAATTATAAACAAGCAAACAAAAATTAAAGTCAAATGTATTAACCTTTTATTTAAGTGACATTTTCAATGTAAACATTACACAATAACTACACAATGTTTGGATCAATTTACAGAACCCCGGATTTACAACCACATTGTAGGGTCTTTACAGCTAAACTTGGTAATTGTTAGTGTTGTTACCTCCCACCCTCCTGCTTCGAAGCTTGTGTCGAAATATGAACCAGTGCAGGGCGAAGCAATTGTATCGGTGCTCGGTTCGTTCGCTGCTGATCACGTGATCAGTGACGTCCGAAGCTTCGCTCCCGCTCAGTGACGTCATCAGTGACGTCCGAAGCTTCGTTTCGGCGCACAGTCACGTGACAGCTTCGAATTGATTCAAATGGGCTCGAAACAGGATTGGGGCTTGTCTGTTTGATACAGTCAAAGTCAGTGTTGTTGTAGTAGTAGTAGTAGCAAATTTACAATGGAACCTGTGGCAAAGAGAGGTCGCTCCGAGATGTGGGAGCACTTCAATTTGATTTCCTCTAACAAGGTTTGTAATAGGCAGACAAAGTCTGTCATTTGTATTGTGTAATTATGGATGTTTATTTTTATTGTGGAGACCACCCGATATTTGGCTGAATCAAACATTCCACGGAGTGAAGACCCGCTAAAATATCGAATCAAACACAAACATGTGTACCCACATCTATTTGTATTAGCACGTAATCTTTTGAGCATTCCTGCCTCATCGTGTCGTGTAAGCGCCTTTTTTGTAAGGCAGGGGAAATAGTATCTAAGAAACCGACTCAACCCCAATTCTGTGGAGAAAATTGTGTTTCTCAATAAAAATCAATAATAACTTCATGCCCCATCCCATGTGTCCACAAGCACTTCAATATCCTGTCATAAGAAACTGTCCAAAAGCACAATCACTGCCCCACTGACCTTTCCTCTGCAAATCACTTCCCACATTCAAACAATTCACATAAGTCCCTATGACTGCCATGAACTGCACATGCAGTAGGAAGCACTTGCTGATATTTTAAATTATATTGCTTACATGTCATATATATATATATATATATAATATATAACATATATATATATATATTATATATATATATATATATATATATATATATATATATATATATATATATAATCGTCTATTATATATATTATATATCTTCTATTAATTATTCTGCTAGTATGATAACAAACATACATGCACAAAGGTGCAGAAAGATATAGATAAGTGTTTGTTAAACTTCTTTCCAATGTACAGAGAATTGAAATACACAAACAAGGACACAATTCAAACCTGAAAAACAATAGTTTTATTCATATAGAAATCCATGTATTTATTAGATGATTTATTGGTTCAACTTTTCATAATCATGTTCAACCCACAGAGACTGGGCCAAAATATACTGGTAGGCTATTCAGAACATTTGCACTACAAGTTTTCAACAGCAGAGGTCATCATAGAGTTTGCGATGCATTGAATGAATGAACCTTTTTCCGATACAATTGGCTGGAAAGCTTCACTGGTTCAGAAAGCTTCACTTTGCCATCACTAGTAATTGTAACTGTGATGTTGAGTTTCGCGCTGGCGAGGGCTGAGGTGTCTGCAGAGCTGGAGTTACCTGCTGCTGCTGCAGCGGTAACGCTGCTAGAGGTACCTGACTGTCGGCGTTGTTTAATCCCACGGCGCCTTAGTAGATGGCTGGAAAGAAGCCAAAATGTTTCCACACGCTGGATCGATAAGTTGGTTTGTAAATGTCTTGCTCGCAGTCGTCTCCTCCACGCTGTGTTTTTTTGTTGTTCCGAGTTTCGCGCGCCTGCCGCTGCGTACTGATGACGTCACAGACAGGCAGACTTAATCGAGTAACGTTTAACGTGTCTAAAGTGCTAAAAAACACATCCATACAGTTTTTGTACTTTAATCCAATGTGCAGTTTCCAAGTATCGATACAATCGATTATGTACCATTTAAATCGATTTGTAATCGCTATATGTCGTCCGGAATGCCGATTTGCGGAGCAAAGATCGATTCAGTTGGATCGCAGGAATATAAATCGATTAATCGATTCAGTGGATGAATCGTTACACCCCTACTACGTACAGTTTGCTGATGATACTTACTTTAACAGTTGACTCGAGTCAACATTGAAATCGCTTAATGCTCCATATCCACCGGTAATGGGAAAAGTTCAATAATGTTAGTCAATTTTACTTGGAGTAGACGACAGAAAGTCTGCGCTATCACACACAGAGGCCCATTGCATTATGAGCCATCTGATAACCAAGATGTTTGGGCGTCAATGTGTACAATCTATTGGTGGCAGTCACTTGGTTCTTTTCCAGAGGCCCCCCTCCTCATCCTGTTTTATTATGTTGAATATATGTAAACTACATATTGAGTAGCCTTGATGTATAACCCGTGTATCTGCCAATTCTGTCACTTGCGAGAATTATTTAATAAATGTCCTGTTTAAGTACTTCTTGATATATGTATTCAGTTACTTTTCACCACTTGTAACTTGTATCACAGTATCAGAGGAGAAACGGACATGTTTGAGACTGTAAGCTGACAAATGTTATAGGCTCTTATGCACTGGATATTTTTATGTCAAAAAATGCTGTTCACAACGTGTTTTATATATTGATACACACAAATCCCCCAAACATCTTTATCACATCCGGGTGTTAATAAATATACAAGTCTACCTTTTCAAATGAATTAGAACAAGTTGTTGAAAGCCTTCAACTGCTTGTCATAAGTATAATTCAATGAGATGCACACCCTAGAAGTTGTAGTGCCATTGTAAAAAGGTCAGACAATAAAAAAGTGCTGTTGTGTTGCTACATTTTAAGTACGTGAACAATAAAAAAGTAAAAATCAAGGTTGGGCTGATTGAAGGTTTTTTTGCAGGAACAGGAAAGAAAAATGATGAGAGTCATAGAGAAACTATAAAGGAAGTTATAAAACTGTCCTTCAGAGCTGTGAAGTATTTAAGAGCGACGTAAGATTTGAGCAATCCTCCACATTCTCATGCTCACACACAGGGAACATAGACAAGAAATTATCATAGTCAGGTGAGTGCATCTTTAATGCTGTTATACATATAAGAATAAAGGCATAGAGTATTGGTACTGTGAAGAAATAGTAACTCGTATTACATTAATTAACAATCTTATCCAAAGGTACGATTCTACAGGAGATCTAACCGGCAGGTTTTTTAATATTTTGTCCTCAGAATCATAAACAAATACTCAAGAGAATATTACAATTTGGTTAATTATCTTGAGAAAAATATTCTGGTTACACATTTCTTTTGTCATATTATGATATTACAGACAGTATATTCTGATTGAATGTTAAAATTGTATAGCATAATGTGTTATGATAAAAATCTGAGATGGCAGGTTTCTTTGTCGATAAAATAGCATTTTCATGACTTCTTTGATGAATTATTTTAAGGTTGTTCCACGATTTAATTGTTTTAGCCAAATAGATTTGTCCTGCAAGGAAACTAAATTGGATATTTAAACCAAGGGTAAAAAAAAGGAATAATTGACGTGGAAGTTATCTCTCAAGTGTTAAGTGATGTTAGCTGACACCAACACGGTGTCAACACTCAACACTTAACACGGTGGAGGAAAACAACCGAGAATATAAAGCACCTTTGTAAAGCACCCTTCAACAACAATTCACAGTTATTTGGAAAAACAGAAAGAATAGATCAATGAAGCACAAAGATACAAATAGAATTGTCAATTTGATTAGTGAATGTTTTGGCTCCTGCACAGATATTCTTTACTGTTGCAAGTGATGAAGTTTGGTTGAACTCTATTTTAAAATAAATGCTCCTCTCCTTTAGGTTTATCCAAGAAAAAATAAAATGAAAGCGATTTTCGGACTAGTTCTTTTCCACTTGCTCCTGTTGTGTGGAGCCCCGACATTTGGTAAGCTTTTTCTGGTTTTAAAGTCTGGTTACCAAGAATTTATCTGACATTTTACCCTCTTTTGTGCTTTTGTCTAAACTGTATTGTCCCTTTTGCTAAGGTGTCCGGATCAAGTCAGTCCCAGCAGTCACCAGTGACGGTGTTATTCAGACAGAGCTGGAACGGACCGTGTCTCTGGTTTGTCAGCTTGACGCCGGCCACGAAACTCCGGTCGACGAAGAGCTGGTGTGGCTGAGGAATGGCCAAGCCGTCAGTCTGACAGAAGGAAATAAGAAGGGTCGAAGCAGCGTGTGCGTTACACCCATCATCTATGAAGATAACGGGGCTACTTTCACCTGCCACCTGAGCAAAAACGTCACAGTTACGGCCTCAGTCACACTGAATGTCACATGTGGGTCCCTTTAAATACTTATCTCTGAAAAAAGTTAATTATTATGATATTATGGATGGCAATATCAGTTCGCTGGTCCCCACTAAAATGTTTTACAGATATTTAGGAGGAATCCCACTGACTCCAGTGATCCCTGGACTTCTCCTTAAATGCTAGCGTCAAGTCGAGATTTCGCTCGGTCCAATATTTTGGTCAAGACAAAATTTAATTTCCGTCAACCTCAAGTCTACATTCTGTTTAGGCCTGACGCGCCTGCCTAAGATGGTGACCACGTTACCCACTGAAAATCAGCATGTTCACGTTCAACCTGATCTCCAAAACCTGTTCGTAAAAATGTATACGAAAATCTTGACCACACAAATTCGTAACAATACATACGAACTGGCGGTGGTTAACCACGCCCCTTGAGTGAACAACCCCTTTTTTGAGGGGGTTAGGGTTAGTATTGTATTCTTACAATTTAACGTTTGATTTCACGTTAAAAATGCAATCATAACACGTTTATTTTACATCGTTAGACTTCACGAAGTGTGTTTACGGGGTCCAGGTCTCCATTAACTTTGAATAGGGTGACGTCATCAGTTGCAGTCCGTATTTATTTAGTATGTATCACTACGAATTTGTACGTTCAAGATTTTCGAATACATTTTTACAAACAGGTTTTGGAGATCAGGCTGTCACGTTAGCACAGCTTGCGTGGCTGTCTGTCTTTAGGCGAAAAGGTGATGATGACATCGGCTTACATGCACTATAATGTTTACCCTTGTCCTCCGTCTCTGTTAACAAGATACCCTTTTTTTAGAATACATATTCTAGGCGCCATTGCCAAACTGAGGAGTGGTTGCCATTGCTAAAGCTGCCGGCTACGAGATTCATGAATGAAGCGGCGTTTCTTTTCAGATCACCTACAGCTCTCTGGCTCGGAGGAAGTTGAAGTAGAAGAAGAGGCAGAGCTCGTCCTGCGGTGCGACAGCTGAGCCAATCCACCTGTCTCCTCTCTGTCTTGGACACTGAATGGAAGCGGGTTGATTCTCGTTGACCAATGACGGCTTCACGGGCCAGCTCAGCGCCAACCTGGTGGAGAAAGGCTGGCATGAGGGCACGTATCAGTGCATAGCGACGTCTCCCATCTACGGCGAAAGCAGCAGGCAATTCAGAGTCACAGTGACAGGTCAGTTGATGCAATCAAGTGTAATCAGCACATTGATGAGTCGGTGAGGGATGACAAAGTGGGTTGATCATTTTCCTCCTCTTTGTCCGTAGAAAAGACATTGAAGCTCCCACTGTAAAGCTAATTTAAACAGGTTCATTAAAATAAAAGTAGAATAGTACTTAAACTAATATAAAATATATAATTGACAAAATATATTTGATAGAAAACTATAATAAATGATAACATAAGGACATCTCATGCCATTAATAAATGGCCCACTTTAAGTGCCATTTGTTCACAAGTAAAATTGGCCTGTTCATCAATTTTGTAACATTACAATCTCAATCAGTGAAAAATAATTATGCTGTCGCTCTGCAAACAACACAACAGAGCAACAGGCCTTTTACGTGCATGCTCCACACAAAGGTGAAAGGATGTGTGCGTTGGTTGGTGGCTGGCTGACAAATGCATCAAAAGGGAAAGGAGTTGACATATCATCAATTAAGTTCAAATGGCAAACTTGTTGGCATTATTAATGATTGGAAGTCACCTGGCTAATGTGAATTAAATATTCACCCCCTTTAAACTCATCCTTTCCACAGGGATCCCCAACGACCGGTTCGCAGACCACTTGGTAGCGGGCCGCAGAGAAAGAAAGAAATCTGTTTCATGATTTTTGTCGGAGGATTTATTGAGTGTATGGAATTCCAGTTTAGCACCTCAGGATAAAAGACGATCCTTGTAACAGGACCTTTGGTTTTCCTGCCAGCGGCATTTTTTTCCTTCACACAATTCAAATCCACTATTCTATATCAGGTTGCAGTTTTATATAAAAACACCTGTTCTTCAAGTAGCCTATGCACTCAACATTATTCCTACTAGGATATCCAAATTGTCAGTTTGTGAGAAGTGTGTTCAGCTGCTAGATGTCTACATTCAGAGGTCAAAGAACGCTCAGCGGCTTGGGGTCAGGTCCTGTGGGGTCAGTGTCGTCGAACTTGAGTCATTAGTCCAGTTCTGGGTAAAGTTGGTCCTGCTCTGGATGGAGGGCTCCTGTACGGGGAACGCGATGTGAAAAGCGACACCTGTGACCAAAACTAGAGCTGAAACCAAGAAGATCAGTCCACGGCGCCAGATCAGCTCAGAGACAGAAAGCGGCGCTGAAGGTTTGGTGTTTGAGGTCTTTTGTGTCCCTTCGTCTTCCCCCACAGGTCGTCCTGTATTTGTGTCGTCGGTCTCCGCCTCGTGTCCACCTTTCAGCTCCTGATCCTGGGTGCTGACTGGACCGTAGCCCCCCACTGCAGGAGCTCTTTCACCGTCCAACTGGGCCTTCAGGGTGCACAGATGATGCTGTTAATCATTATGTAAATGTGAAACCCTGACAAGGCAGAAACCCCCATTTACTATTTATTATGCACTTACTTCAGGACAGGAAGAGATGTCCATCACCATCCCTTCACTCAGCTCTGCTCTAACAGGGCGCTTTGGTATCAACGTAACTTTCTTTCCAGCTCGCTGTTGAGCCTGAAAACATGATGAGGTTCATGTGAGTCATACATATTTATATATAGAGCATATATTATATATATATATATATATATATATATATATATATATATATATATATATATATATATATACCAACACACAATCATATTGAATGCATTTATTTGTGGCTCGTATGAGTGTGTATGTAATGTTCAGCACTAACGTTTCGATTTGTCCTTGTTTTGTGAATTGAGAGATAACTTGCAATGCTACGCCAAAGCATTGGAAAGAAAAATGGAAAGAAAATTGCAAGAAAACAATATATTGAAATGCTGTCATTATAATTACAGCCAAATACTCACCCTCATTCCTTTCTGGAACAGTTTATATACCATTCATTGCTTATACAAAATATACAAGCATCCTACCTTTAATGTGACTTTCTTCCAGTTTAGTTTGAAGATTAGAATGAGGAAGAAACCCGTCTCCAAGAATATACATGTTAAGATACCGAGCCACAAACCTAATCAGAGACACAAAAGAAGGTTTAAAGAAGAAAGATCTACTTTGTGTTCACTTCATACATTGACATAAGAACATTGTGTAACAAGAAAACTACCAATATACTTAATGTTTCTGAGAAAACGACTAAGACGCAGCCACACTAACAGCTATTGGACAAATTCAAAGGTTAACCTGATGATGGTGCTAGATGAAAAGTCAGGGATCACCAAAGCATTAAAGCATTTCATCTAAAGCCATCATTGTTTGTACCAAATGTCGTGACACTAAAGAACGCACTGACTAAAAAGAGCAGAAGGGTTATTTGAGGCATTGTGCACTGAACTACAAATACATTGCATTATAAATTAGCTGCCCTCATATAATTATTAAATTCTTAGGTTTTGTGGTAGAAATAAAACAAATGAAATCTCGATCCATCCATTTTCAACCGCTTATCCGGGGTCGGGTCGCGGGGCAACAGCTCCAGCAGGGGACCCCAAACTTCCCTTTTCCCGGGCCACATCTACCAGCTCTGACTGTGGGATCCCAAGGCGTTCCCAGGCCAGTGCAGAGATATAATCTCTCCTCCTAGTCCTGGGTCTTCCCCGGGGCCTCTTCCCAGCTGGCCGTGCCTGGAACACCTCCCTAGGGAGGCGCCCAGGGGGCATCCTCACCAGATGCCCAAACCACCTCAACTGGCTCCTTTCGACGCAAAGGAGCAGCAGCTCTACTCCGAGCTCCTCGCGAATGGCTGAGCTTCTCACTCTATCCCTAAGGGAGACGCCAGCCACTCTCCTGAGGAAACCCATTTTGGCCGCTTTTACCCGTGACCTAGTTCTTTCGGTCATGACCCATCTTTCATGACCATAGGTGGGGGTAGGAACGAAGATTGACCGGTAGGTCGAGATCTTTGCCTTCCAGCTCAGCTCTCTTTTCGTCACAACGGTGCGGTAAAGCGAATGCAATACCGCCCCCGCTGCTCCGATTCTCCGGCCAAACTCACACTCCATCTTCCCCTCACTCGTGAACAAGACCCCGAGGTACTTGAACTCCTTCACTTGGGGTAAGGACACATTCCCTACCTGGAGTAGGCAATCCATCGGTTTCCTGAGAACCATGGCCTCAGATTTAGAGGTGCTAATCCTCATCCCGACCGCTTCACACTCGACTGCGAAACGCTCCAGTGAGAGTTGGAGGTCACAGACGGAAGATACCACATCATCTGCAAAAAGCAGCGATGAGATCCGCAGCCCCCCGAACTGTAGACCCTCCTCCCCCCGACTACGCCTCGATATCCTGTCCATGAAAACCACAAACAAGATTGGTGACAAGGCGCAGCCCTGGCGAAGGCCAACCCCCACCGGAAACGCCTTCGACTTACTGCCGAGCACAGCTCTCGCTTTGGGCGTTCAAGGATTGGATGGCCCCAAGCAAGGACCCCCTCACCCCGTACTCCCGCAGCACCTCCCACAGTTTCTCTCGGGGGACCCGGTCATACGCCTTCTCCAAGTCCACAAAACACATGTAGTCTGGATGAGCATACTCCCAAGTCCCCTCTATGATCCTGGAAAGAGTGAAGAGCTGGTTCGTTGTTCCACGACCCGGACGAAAACCGCATTGTTCCTCTTCAATCCTTGGTTCGACTATCGACCGAACCCTCCTTTCCAGCACCTTAGAGTAGACTTTACCCGGGAGGCTGAGTAGTGTGAAACCCCTGTAATTGGCACACACTCTCTGGTCCCCCTTTTTGAAGAGGGGTACCACCATCCCGGTCTGACACTCTTTTGGCACCGTCCCAGACTTCCACGCAATGTTGAAGAGGCGTGTCATCCAAGACAACCCCCCAACACCATTGCTTTTAGCATCTCTGGACGGATCTCATCAATCCCTGGGGCTTTTTCACTGCGGAGTTGTTTGACTACCTCAGTGACCTCCACCAGGCCAATTGACGATGATCCCTCCTCTGCCTCCAGCTCCGCCTCTACCAAAGAGGGCGTAGTAGTTGGGTTCAGGAGTTCCTCAAAGTGTTCCTTCCACCGCCCGATAACCTCCTCAGTCGCGGTCAACAGGGTCCCATCCTTACTGTACACAGCTTGGATGGTTCCCCGTTTCCCCCTCCTGAGGTGCCGGATGGTCTTCCAGAAGCACTTTGGTGCCGACCGAAAGTCCTTCTCCATAGTTACCCCGAACTCCTCCCATACTCGCTGCTTTGCCTCCATCACGGCAGAGATGGAGGCAGAGCCTGTCGGTACACTGCAACTGCCTCCGGAGTCCCACCGGATATCATAACCCGGAAGGCCTCCTTCTTCAGTCGGACGGCTTCCCTAACCACCGGTGTTCACCACGGGGTTCGAGGGTTACCGCCCCTTGATGCACCTAAGACCTTGAGGCCACAACTCACTGCCGCGGCTTCAGCAATGGAGGTTTTGAACATACACCACTCTGGTTCAATGCCACCCTTGTAGCAGCTCACCCGACCCCATCGGTTTCCTCCACAGGTGGTGAGCCCATGGGGAGTAGAGTCTTGGGCTGCCGCGTCACTCCTTTGGGCTGTGCCCGGCCGGGCTCCGCGGTAAACCCAGCCACCAGACGCTCGCTGTCGGGCCCTCCATCTGGACCTGGCTCCAAATGGGGGCCCCGGGCTTCCTCCGGGCCGGGTAACTCCTTCCCTCTTCAGTTTTTTCATAGGGTCTTTTTGAACCATTCTTAGTCTAGCCCCTCGCCTGAGACCACTTTGCCAAGGGTAACCCTACCAGGAGCACAAGGCTCCCGACAACACAGCCCTCAGGGTCATAGGGACACACAAACCTCTCCACCACGATAAGGTGACGGTTCCCAGAGAAATAAATTAAATCTAACCTTAAATATTTGGGTAAAATGTATTTCGGATAGAGGATTCAAATTAAATTCAAGTGTCTGTACAAGTAAATGGAAGTGACTCACTGATCACTAAATACTGCTGGATTCAATTTGATCAAGTTCATTCTTTTTAAAACACAACCAGGTCTGTTTTCAGGTCTGGAGGAGTAAAAGTGCATACATTGTATAAGTTGTATAATGCCTTTTTTAGCTGTCAGGATCAGGCCTCCGGGTCTGAAAAGTGAAGCCAGTGTGGAGGATCTTTGTGTATAGATTTTTCCTAATAGCCTTCAGGGGGTGACTCTTCTTGTCTTGTGACAAATTTGTTGCTACTACGTCGTTTTCTGATCTCAGAGTTGTTTATGTTTTCCAATTTGAATTGTGAACTTTTTCACAATGTGTTTTCAGTTCAGTTAACTGTGGAGTTTTGGTAGCTCAAAAATGTCTACGCGTCAGTTTTACTTAACTCTTATTGTTTCACTTCTGGTGGCAGAAGTAACACAATAAGATGGCCCCAGCTCAAACGTTGAACTCAAGGCCAGTCGGTTTTTGACAATGAAGAAGAATAAAGACATTTGTGGATCTACTTAGTTGTAATTTTTCATTATTATTATTCTTAACTGTCCATCTAGTCCAACGGGATTGCCATGCTAGGACCTCAGAGCCAAAAAAGGAGCCAAGATGTTCATAACTTGTTTGCTGAAACATATAATAGGAAAGTTAGGAACATTACCTAATATTCTGAGCTTAGTAGCAAACATCAGAGCTATTCCCACTGGTAGACCGATGACGTAGAAAGACACCAGGTTGGACAAGGCAACAATTTTCTGCATTCCAGATCCGATAAGAATTCCTAAGCAAACACACTGAAAACATACACAAATAGAAACAATTGAAAAAGGGTTGCATACTCGTCAACACAAGCTCAATGCAAAAGAAAAGAAGAACGTTTATTCTGTTCTGTCAAAACGTACCAGAAGAGCATCAATGAACTGCAGAAATATGTAGACTGTGAGGTTATCTGAGACAATCCCCACAATTTCTCTGCAGACAGTAAAAGAAGATCATCAAAATAAAACATAGTTGTCGTTACAAAGTGCAGGAACGAAGGTGTGTTGGTTTAAGACTCACTCATCAGATGTAAATATGTAGCCAACGACGGACTTACAGCCAGCGAGGATACAACCCTGGAACACAGCAAGCACTCCTGCAGAAAGACGTGACACAAAAGATAACATTTGACAGGATGTGTGATTCACAAAATATCAAACAGCTTTGAAATAAACGTTGCATGAATCTCACAAGTATATTTTTGCATGTGTTCTTAAACAATAAAAAAAGGGATCAATGAACCTGCCAAACAATCAAAATCCAGATTTCTCTGTGTGCACGGTTTGGATTGTAGTAATTTCATGTTTGTGTTCATAAGTATAGGTTTTCATACCTGCCAGAACCAGCACTACTTTGCAAGTGATTATGGCCCTGGTAGTGTTCCCGGCACCCAGAGCATTCCCAACACGCACACAGGCAGCTGCACGGATACCCAGAGGGAACTGCAAGGACCCCATGTTGATTTTTGATGTTAAAATTATTATTCAGAAGATTATTATTCAAATCATCAGAAAGTATTCACTGTCTTTCTGATGATTTGATGATAATATTGATATTCCGAAGCCAGGAGGCAGTCAGCTTGGCTTAAAAACAGGAAGAAGGGGGACAGCGATCCTGCTTCTCCAAGTTCAAAGGCCAGTAGAATATCTGGCTATGAAAAAGTAACTGTTGCCAGCCACATACCAACAAGCAAATTGCATATTTTCATTTGATGCATACCATAGATATAATAATTCCTATTTCCAACAAAACATGCTGGGCCGCCAGATCCACCTCTCCCAGTAGACCTAGGAGGATAAAGGTCAAATTCAGACAATTTCAAAGATGGGAAACGGCACACAGTCTGCTGCTGTTGTATTAATCCAGCAAAGGTCAAATATATGACTAATATTTTAGATCATTTTTATTATTAATATTTTGTTTATTAAAAGTTAGCCACTTGTATATTTACCTCTTTAGCACGTATGCAGTAAATCAGTTCAAGATAATAATTTGTTGATTAACTCGGCAATAGCAAACAAAAGCTGTTTTTTGCAGTTATTCTAATGGTTTAACTATTGGTTTGTAGAAAAATAAACACTCAAAATGGCTTTAAATCTTTTTCAACACTGACCAGCAAGGAAACCTCCAACCTCCCACATCCACCAATCAAACCAGACCAAGCATGTACTGGGAATAGCCAGCTTCATATAGGAGCCCCACTCCTGCAGACAGTCGGTGGACCAGCCTGCAAAAAGTTTAACACAGAAGGATTGTACTCAATGGGCCTGTAGTGGGGGACAGATTTCTGTTGCAGATTTCTGAACACAACTGCTTTTGTGCGTCACTTGCCTTTTCATCCAGTCATGTATCAGCAGAAATGCAGATTCTGACATTTAATACTTTAATACATTTATTCTGTGTGTATAACTCACCTCCCCATGTCTCCTGATGGAGCTTCTTCCATCGGATGTAGCCAAACAGCAGCAGGCAGATGGAGATGTGAGAAAGGGCGTTAGCTAAAGCTGATCCACTGCAAACACACATGATAGAACATATTTAAATAATATTGAAAGAATGTCACGGTCTAATTTGACTCTATGTCTCTAGACGACTTACAGGACTCCCAACTCGAGGCTGTAGATTAAGAAGTAGTTGGCCCCCACATTAAAAACGTTTGCTGCGGCTGCTGTGTACAACTGAGGCATAATGATCCCCTGGCAGACAAAAAAAAGACACGCAAACCACAATCAGCTATCCCATTTGTACAGCTTCTATTAAACTGCATTAATGACATCCGTGCAACTCTGCGACAGACAAACAAATTCATCACGTAGATAGCATCCTGGTAACAAGACTAGACAAAGACAAACTTGGGCTGCCATCACTGGATCACTACAGTTATTGCAATTTCGCCTCAAGGGGGCATACATTTCTAAATACATTTAACAGTTTGTAATGGACTGAGATAAATGCAATATTAACCCTGATATAAGTGTGTTTGTAAGGAAGAAGGTGTCAATATCCGGTAATGTTTTTTGCATTCTGGAGGTCAGTAAAGGTCTCATGGCGTGTGAAGCTGTTAAAGCTGTCAGATACTTATGAGATCGGTGGCACAAGTGACCTGGGATTGGCAGAGAGACTGAGGTGGGATGTATTTGTCCTAGTTAGTCTACGACCGTGAGTAGATTGTCAAGCATGATGAGATAACGTGTTTTGCCGTACGCTACGGCCCACTGCCGCCTGTGTTCTGTTCACTACCAGTACAACAAGCACGGTAATGTCTCCATGTGAGGATGTTGTTAGATTTTTTGGAAAAACAAAAATGTCATCCTTACGGTGGCAAAAAAAGTAAAGTCAGATTATCATCATGGTCATAACAATTGGGCACAAATGGGCAACTACATTGATCTGCTCACATGGCTAAAGAAAGCCATTGATTCAACATAATGGACTCATAAAACTGCAGACACAGTTCTTCTCTCTGTAAACACAAAACCCGGATATGAAGTGGTTGTTTTTTTCTTATTTCCTAAATTTGGTTTGGGAAAACAAACACATTGCAGTTGATTTATTGAAAATGGCACCCATTGAAACTCAATGCAGAAGAAGGGCTATAAACTTACTTGGTTTTGTAGGTAGGAAACTTGCAGCTCGTACAGAAACATGGCCTGTAGAGGGTAATATAGGAGAGTTTTAAAGAGTAAAACTGCCAGATCGCTCACATATAAACCAGGATTCTAAAACACACATTACATACAGAGGCTATTTCTAATGTGCTAATACCTGCAGCATAACGAAGAACATAACATATGTTGAACTAGGAAGGAAATATTTTAGTCCATATTGTTTAATCAACTCACTGGAACAGCAGGAATAAAGGCCAGTGCGTAGATTTGGGCAATTCTGAAAGGGTTGCAAACACAAACATTTGTTTAGTAGAGCAAACACACAAACAATAATTCACGGTTTGCCCAGACATAACCCTTCTTTTTGGAGATGCAATTTCTATTTACATTTAATTCCTGCTTTGTAGATTTACTTCCACAATATGAAATAAAAATAAAATCTAACTACAAGGTGAAATCACAAATTCAAATGCCAAGGCTGCAACTTCAGACATTTAAAAATAGCAACATGAAGATAAATGTAAGCACAACCTCAAGTACTTCTAGACACACTTACCTGTAATAATACACTAAGATGCACTGTCGATATGAACAATCACGGCACTAAACCAAAGGGTGCCCCTTCTCAAACTAACATTTTGTCATCAATCGAGCATTCATAAACCAGGGATTTACCTCGCCACCTCAGTGTCTTGGTGTAACATGAGCAGCAAGTTGTGAGTATTGATGAGAAGAGCCCAACAGGGCAAACAAAACAACAGCAAGATCAATGAACTCCGTTGAAGGATTACTCCCACACGTCTCATGTTCCTACCGCCGTACGTCTGCAAAACACAAATGAGACAAAATAGAAGTCGATCTGCTTGAGTAGGTTGAAAATGAACCTTTCTCTAAATAGCAGACAATACAAATTAGAACATTATAATATTAAATGTGGTTGGCTCACCTGAGAAATGAGTGTGTCACAGGCCACGTTGAGGCCATGGCCCGTTGAAGCTGTGGTCGTGTTGATGATCTGAAAGGTGAAAAGTAAAAAACATAAAAGTCTGACTTCAGTTATAAAAAGTATATATTTTTAGACAATTTTCCTTTTTGGTTTATGTTCATAACAATATGTGTATTATTGTATATCCAAAATAGAATTCAAAATTTTGCAAACCAAAGAGAGACTAAACTAATGCTGAAGTTGTCTATGTGCATCAACAATGTGTAACCTAATTTGATGTCCTTTTACTCTCAAGCTATCAAAAGAGTTTCCAACCTCAATGAAATGACCTCCTTTAACTAAAAACTAAATTTAAATAAAGTGTGTGTATTTTGTCCAATCGTCCATGTTGATTTGTTATCAGGGTGTGTAAATTAGGTTTTTTTTTTAATCTCCGCCAGGCGTGAACCTGGGGAGAGGTTAAATGTTGTGTCGTGTTGAGTGTGGACCCCTCGTCCACGGCTAATTTGTCTTCCTGCTGCAGCAGTTTGCATAATATATTTTGGGTGGCAGGTTGTGGCTGCTTGCTCAAGGACCTCTCGTCGGTGCCTTTTCAAAACACCTTTTATTTCCTGTTTTGTGCTGCCATTGACTGCCTGCTGACTCCCCACTGACTGAGCGCACCGTCGACCTCCAGCCGCTACACTGCGGCCAGAGTCACAGTGGGGGGGGGGCAGTTGCTATTTTTTGGGGGACTGTGTGTTCAGCTAACAGCTAACGGGACTGCGAGTGCACACACTGCCAGTGCACCACTTTCCACGAGGGTACAGTAGAGAGAGAGGATGCTCCTAACCCTAGCTGCCAGGAACCGCAATGTTGGTAGTTCGAGCCCCGGCTGCTGTTGAAGTGTCCCTGAGCAAGACACCCAACCCCTAATTGCTCCCTGGGCAAAGCTAAATGACCTGTAATGTAAATAATTACATTAAGTAATTTTACACCACCCAAGTCAATGTGTTTTTGTTTTTGGAATTCTCTGTTAAAAAGATAGGAAGTGACTAACTTAATTAGTACATTAAGTAATAACAATTGGAGTTAAAATAGTACCGCTGAGGCGAGTGCAAATCCAGCCAGTTCTGAATTGCCAATGTGCCCACAGAATATGGTGATAACAAATGACAGGAGGAAGTTCAGAAACCGAGACACCACCTGCAGAGAGAAAACAACATTTTGAAATAAATGATTCCTATTAGCTGGACTCAAACAGCTAATGCAACTCTGCAAAGAATTGTTAAATCAAAAGGTTTAGGCAGGTTCACACCCAGAAACACTATGGCCGCCATGGGATTTTATTTGCGTATTGTAGGCAAGACAGGTAATTGATTGCATTGTTCGATTTTGGTCTGTAACAGTACACTTTACGCACTGAATATAGAAACCGGATATAACAGTGCAACAGTCGGTGGCCTTTACAAATGAAACGGTAAAACCAATTGTGTCACGGTGTGGTTCACTTCCTGTTGTATTTTGTAGTTTTCTGCCACTCGTGTCCCCGGGTTCCTGTGTTTTTGGCCTATTAAAGTCTTTTGTTTTCCTGAGAAGTCTGCGTTTGAGTCCTGCCTCCCACCCTCACCCCTGACAGAATGACGCGACCTAAGAAGGGCTCAGCAGACCCGTTGCCAGATTACGGACCTGATTACCTGGACGTAAGAAGTCACTTCTGGCAGCGGAAAACAAACTTCATCTTCGGTCCCAGGGGCTATCAGCTCGCCTGCCTCCAGCTCCGGGATCTGCTATATCCCAGGAGGAGCCCTAGCCAGAGGAATAACCGACTTCCCGCTGGGCCGCCGAAGCGCTCTCCCGTTCCCGCTGAGGTGTCCCGTGTCCCCGAGCCGACGCCGACTGCGGAGGTGTTCCGTGTCCCCGACCTGGAGCCGCCGCCGACTACCGCGGAGGTTTCCCGTGTCCCCGAGCTGCCGCCGACTACCGCGGAGGTTTCCCGTGTCCCCGAGCTGCCGCCGACTACCGCGGAGGTTTCCCGTGTCCCCGAGCTGCCGCCGACTACCGCGGAGGTTTCCCGTGTCTCAGAGCTGCCGCCGACTACCGCGGAGGTTTCCCGTGTCCCCGAGCTGCCGCCGACTACCGCGGAGGTTTCCCGTGTCTCAGAGCTGCCGCCGACGACCTGTGATTGTCTAATAGTTTCCACCTGTGTCCAATCACCTACACCTCCTTTGTGTATTTAAGCCGTGTGTCTCTTGTGTCACTTGTTCGCGTGCATTGTTCTATTGTGGTGGATGTCCGGAAAGTTTCACGCCTGCTGTTTACCCCCCCCCCCCCCCCCCGGGTTCTTGTGTTTTTGGCCTTTTGACTATTAAAGTCTTTTGTTTTCCTGAGAAGTCTGACTGAGGCCCAATGGTAGATCTAACACTAGGTAGACTTTCCATTAGTTATTTTGAGGAACTTTTAACTGAGTATAAATCCGTGTCAATACTTATAACCTGCCATAGCAATCCAAACACCCATTACCACCACTTCCTGCTGACACTTCAACTTTCTCCTACTCACCAGTGGACCTGTGAGCCGTAAGACTTGGTAGAGTTCCTCTCTGTAAACCAGTGGTACCAAACGCCTCACCCAAGCACACCGAAAAAGTTTGGAGCTGGCTGCAGCCACGGCTGCGTCGTCTCCCTCGGGCCTCATTGTCTTGGCAACTGAGACCCCATCAAGGGGCCCTGCAACCGGCAAAGGGTGCGCTGGGTCCGGGGTGAACCCAGCTTCTCCATTTAAACACAGAACAAGAAGAAGAGAAGTGAGAAAAGCAAAAGGGACAAAGGAGGCGGGGTGAAGTGGGAAAAGAGTGAGTGGGGAGAGAGGCAGAAAGTCTTTCTCGGTTTCGAATTACATCACATTTACTTCTCTAAAGTTATTGATTAATATGTTGTTTGGAGGAGAGAGGTGAGAGACTAAAGGGCGAACAAAAAAGCAGCAGGGCTGCTGAATGTATCTCAGGAAGGAGGGAATGCAGTGTGTCTCAGTGTCAGCAGGGGGACATTGTGGTTTCTGTAAATTATTGGTTTTGCATTTTAGCATGGCTTGTTTTTACATTTTAGCGTGGCTTGTTTTATTACATTTTAGCGTGGCTTGTTTTATAACCTTTTTGCATGGCTTGTTTTTACATTTTAGCGTGGTTTGTTTTATTACATTTTTGCATGGTTTGTTTGATTACATTTTTTTACATATTAACCCACCTTTTAGTAAATTACATGCACCTGGAGGGACTAATCAATTACAGAGAGCCCTGGCCAACCACATTACACAATGAAAGGACCTCCCCTCTCCAATTAACACAGCTGCTATAAAGGCCGCAGGAGAAGCCACGGGAAGGAGAGGCCACAGAAAGGAAGGCCACAGAAAGGTGAAGCCACGGGCAGGAGAAGCCACGGGAAATCGAGCGAGAGGGAGGCCAGACAACAGACGAGCAGGCAGGGTGCAACGGGGAGAGGAACGAAACGGACTGGACACCTCACCCAGGAAAGGAACGGAACCGGAAACAAGAAAAAGGAGCAAGACCGACCGGCAGCAGTGTCTGGTCAAATTCTTAAATCCTTTTAGTACCTTGTTCCAACTGGACTTTTAATATTGTAGTTATTTATGGGTTTTTAGTTAATAATAAAATCCTCCTTTTAAACCCCGCTTTTAAGTCTTGTGATCCATGCTGTTCTTCCTCTGGTGAACAAGAACCTATTCTATGGAGACCTAGACTCCGCAACTAGGTGGCGTTGCTGGTACCTTTTTATAAATGTAATCTAATTTTTTATTAGATTTTAATTCCCCCGCCTCACGAGGCTGACAAGGGAACTTTTCTGGCGTTGCTGGCAGGACCGGATTGGAGAACAGCTGCGGTGATTTAAGACAAAAAAAGGCTTTGAAGATGATGATGCCTGTGTTTCCTGGTGCCCCGTGGCTGCCTAAATTTAAAGGGCCCGGTGAAGATGTAAAATACAGTGATTGGAAGGAACAGATTCAAGGACTGTTAAGTTCCCAAGAATTAACAGAAGCTGGGAAGGCAGCTATTGTGTTGGGAGCCTTAGCAGGTGAGGCTAAACGCCAGGTCAGCGTCCTTGAAGACAGTGAGCGAGACCAGGGTAGGAAGATTTTTCTCTACCTAGACACACTCTATGGCGATAGAACCCCAACCCCGGTTTTAAGATCAAAGTTCTTCGGTTGTAAACAGAAACCTGGAGAGTCTGTACCCTCGTTCATATTACGGTTGAGAGAGCTGTTTTGCATGTTGCGGCGGAATGATCCAAGCAACGCCCCCTCTGACACGGTGCTACGAGACCAGTTGTTGCTTGGGCTAAACGAAGGCCCAATGGCTCAGGCGCTGAAGGTGTATGCGCGCCGTAACCCAGACGAAGACTTTGCTGCACTTCGACAAGAAGCACTACTGCTGGACTCAGAACACGGATACACACAGCCGGAGGTAACATGCTTTTCTGTGAACGACTCTCATGCCTCCCCTGCTTTGTTACAGAAGGAAAGTTGGAGAGACACGCTGAAGCGAGAGATCATGGAAGATGTGAAATCCCAGATGCAAGGACTCACCCAAGAATTAATAAAGGAAATTAAACCACTACTTCAACCAGTCAATGCTCCCCCACAGCCCCTGACACAACATAGGGAGCGGTCGCGACCGGCGTCCGGTGTTAACGACTGGGATGAACAAGGTAGGCCAATCTGTCGCCAATGTAGACAAGCGGGACATATAGCCAGGTATTGTAGGAGGCCTGCTTCCCGGGTGGCTTTAAACTAGCTGTCCCTGCTGCTGAGGTCCAAGGGGCAGGGGTTGCTGATGCACTACACGACTCAAGGGCCACGGAAGCCTTTATTGGGCAATGCCCAACTATAGGAGTAACGATTGAAGGGGTTGAGTTGCAAGGACTGTTGGATACGGGGTCTCAGGTTACATTAATGCAGCAGAGTTTATTTGAGCAGCATTTTTCCAAAGCTAAGCTTGGGAAGACCCCTGTAGTCTTCCAGTTAAGGGCAGCCAACGGCCTGGAGATCCCATACACTAGCTACGCAGTGTTTGATCTGGAAGTGGAAGGCATCAAAATACCTGGACGAGGAGTCGTGATTATTAAAGATAAACACTGCACCCACCCGCTCCTCATAGGTATGAATGTTGTGACCGCCTGCTGGGAAACACTCTTTCAACGACCTGGAAGGCCAGTTTCCACTCCACAGCAGCTGAAGAACCAGAGAGTTTGGCGGGATGCTTTTGCTACCTGTCAACGTATCGAGGCCACCATGACAGAAGACGGATTCTTGGGAAACGTGCGGCCAGCTACTCGCCAAAATATCCGAGTCCCACCAAAGAGTGAGCTGCTGGTGTGGGGCCGTGCTCGGATGGGCCCGCGAGGAACAGACTACTGTGCCCTGATGGAAGCACTACCTGAAACCAACAATGTTGGCGTAGCTAGGACACTAGCAGTGGTAAGAAATGGGAGAATCCCTGTTCGTGTCTGTAACCCATATCCCTACACCTTGTCAATAGGGCGGAACCAGAAATTGGGTAAGCTGTACCACGTTGATGAAGCTGATGTGCGTGGATCTTGTGACCTTACCCTATCTCTGAAAGACAATTGCGTTGTTGAAGTGGCTTTGGTAGATGCAACAGGTAACCACAAGGGACAGGAGCTGCCTGAAGAGGTAAAGAACCTGACTAACCGACCTGATCTCTCTAAACAGCAACAGGAGGAGCTATGCACCCTGCTGCTCAAGTGGAAGGACGCGTTTGCTAACCATGATGAAGACTTTGGTCGGACAGACCTGGTACAACACCGTATCCATACGGGTGATGCAGCGCCCATCAGAGAAAGGTACCGACCTCTTCCGCCTCTGATGTATAAGGAAATGAAGGGCCTACTTGTAGAAATGCTTGAGAAGGGGGTAATCAGAGAAAGTTGTAGCCCATGGGCTGCGCCCATAGTCCTGGTGAAGAAGGACGGTAACTGGAGGTTCTGTGTCGACTATAGGAAACTCAATGCCATAACCCATAAAGATGCCTTTCCCCTTCCAAGAATCGAAGAGACTCTAACAAACCTGACCCGAGCTGAGTGGTTTTCTACCCTTGACCTGGCTAGTGGCTATTGGCAGGTTGAGATGGACCCCCAAGACCGAGAGAAAACTGCCTTTACAACCCCACTTGGACTATTTGAGTTTGAGCGCATGCCTTTTGGCCTCTGTAATGCACCAGCAACATTTCAGCGCCTAATGCAACAGTGTTTAAGTGGCCAAATGGCGGAGTCCCTATTGGTGTATTTGGACGACATCATAATATACTCACCTGATTTTTCCTCTCACCTACAGCATTTGGATGAGGTGATCCAAAGATTGTTGCGGCATGGCCTGAAACTGCGATTGGACAAGTGTAAACTTCTCCAACAAGAAGTAAAGTTTTTGGGCCATGTGGTGGATCATTCTGGGGTAAGACCTGACCCCGATAAAATCTCGTCTGTATCAAACTGGCCTGTCCCGTCCACGATAAGGCAAGTGAGGGCCTTCCTAGGGTTAGCTGGATACTACAGACGCTTTGTATCTGGATTTGCCAAAATTGCACGTCCCCTGAACAACTTGTTGACAGGCATTCCAGCAAATAAAAAGTCTGAGACTCGAAGAGTGCAATGGTCCTCTGAGTGTCAAGCAGCTTTCGATGCCCTAAAGAGGGCTTTGGCACAAACCCCTGTTCTGGCATATGCTGACTACACACTTCCTTTCATTGTCTACACCGACGCAAGCAACCAGGGGTTGGGAGCAGTGTTAGCCCAAGCCCAGGAGGGAAGGGAACGTGTAATAGCGTACGCCAGCCGAAGTCTACATCCAACCGAGAAGAATGATGCTAACTACAGTTCGTTTAAACTAGAGCTTCTGGCTCTAAAGTGGGCGGTGACTGAGAAATTCAGAGACTACCTGACTGGAACGCAGTTCACAGTATATACCGACAATAACCCTGTTGCTCACCTGCAGACGGCTCGCCTGGGTGCTGTGGAACAACGCTGGGTCGCTCAGCTGGCTTCTTTCAACTACGACGTCAAGTACCGCCCAGGTAAAAGCAATGCTAATGCAGATGCTCTGTCCAGGTTTCCAGTTGATCCCATCCCTGCCAGGGTTGCAGACCAGGAGTGTGAGACAGGAACAGGCGTGACCACGGCAGCCATCGAGCTAAACCCTAGAAGTGAGGATAGTGAGTGGGCTAGCAGTGAATGGGAAGATGCACAAGCCAGTGATCCTGACATACAAGTGGCTAAGAGGTATGTAGAAAACCAGACTCTACCGACGGGACCAGAACGCCGAGCCTTGTCCTGTAGAGCACAGAGATTGTTGCAACAGCGGAAAAGACTTCAAGTTGAAAACAAAGTGTTGTGCCGTAAGGTTACCGATCAGCATACCCATGAAGTATGCTTCCAGGTGGTGTGTCCAAGCTCAAGGTGCGAAGAGGTCTGGAAAAAGGTCCATGAAGCTGCTGCCCATGCTGGTGTGGATTGGACCCTGGCCCGGATACGACAGCATTTCTATTGGCCTGACATGGAGCAAGAGGTACGCCATTTCCATTTGGGTTGTGTTACCTGCAGCCTCCAGAGGAAAAGAGTAGAGCCTAGGGCCCCTCTTAATCCGATAGCTGTGTCATACCCTCTTGAGGTTGTGGGGCTAGACTTCTTGTCCTTAGGTCGGCCAACAGACCGTATTCAAAACATCCTTGTGGCCACGGATTTATTTACACGCTACTCTTGGGCCATCCCCACACATGACCAAACGGCTCAGACAACAGTAAAAGCTCTGTGGACTCATGTAATACAGCCTTTTGGCTGTCCAGCTCGGTTCCATTCTGACCGGGGACCAAATTTTGAGTCTGCATTGATGAAACAGCTCTGTGATACTTATGGTATAACTAAAAGCCGCACAACGCCGTACCATCGTGCAGGAAACGGTGGGGCAGAACGCTTCAACCAGACCTTGTTAAACATGCTCCGCTCTCTAGAAACAGAGAAGCAAAACCGTTGGCCAGAATACTTGCTTGAGTTGGTACATGCTTACAATAATACAATACACAGTGCAACCAGCTACACTCCCTCCTTTCTTATGTTTGGGAGGCATCTGAGGCTTCCTGTGCATGTGGGACTTGGTGTCGGTCCCCAGCAACTACGCCATGACATTGGTGGTTGGATACTAGACCACCAACAGAGACTTTCACTAGCGTATTGTATAGCTAGACAGAAAATGGATAACGCAGCCTCCCAAAGCAAACAACACTATGACAAAAGGGCTAAAGCTACGCCACTCTTACCCGGAGAGAGAGTATGGGTACGCAACAGAAATCGACGAGGTCAAGGAAAATTGTGTACTTGGTGGGACCCTGAACAATTTGTTATTGTTGAACTAGTGGGCAATACAGGGTTGGTGTATAGGATAAAACCTGAGAAGGGGGGCCGTGAAAGAACTGTACATAGAAATGCTTTAAAAGTCTGCTTAGCTCCTCCAATAGACCCCAACCCACGGACCAATGGGCCCGCAGCGGAGACACACTGGCTCCAAGGTACAGCGTTCTATGGGTTTGCTCCAGCCCCAGTGATGGTCCCGGCGCAGGAGCAAGGACCAGAAGTAGCGCCACGACGCTCAAACAGGACTAACCTCGGCCAGCCACCTGCTCGTTATAGGGAAATTTAGGTATTCATGTTGCAGGGACTGCCAACATTAAAGAGTGGAGGGATGTCAGCAGGGGGACATTGTGGTTTCTGTAAATTATTGGTTTTGCATTTTAGCATGGCTTGTTTTTACATTTTAGCATGGCTTGTTTTATTACATTTTAGCGTGGCTTGTTTTTACATTTTAGCGTGGTTTGTTTCATTACATTTTTGCATGGTTTGTTTGATTACATTTTTTTACATATTAACCCGCCTTTTAGTAAATTACATGCACCTGGAGGGACTAATCAATTACAGAGAGCCCTGGCCAACCACATTACACAATGAAAGGACCTCCCCTCTCCAATTAACACAGCTGCTATAAAGGCCGCAGGAGAAGCCACGGGAAGGAGAGGCCACAGAAAGGAAGGCCACAGAAAGGTGAAGCCACGGGCAGGAGAAGCCACGGGAAATCGAGCGAGAGGGAGGCCAGACAACAGACGAGCAGGCAGGGTGCAACGGGGAGAGGAACGAAACGGACTGGACACCTCACCCAGGAAAGGAACGGAACCGGAAACAAGAAAAAGGGGCAAGACCGACCGGCAGCAGTGTCTGGTCAAATTCTTAAATCCTTTTAGTACCTTGTTCCAACTGGACTTTTAATATTGTAGTTATTTATGGGTTTTTAGTTAATAATAAAATCCTCCTTTTAAACCCCGCTTTTAAGTCTTGTGATCCATGCTGTTCTTCCTCTGGTGAACAAGAACCTGTTCTATGGAGACCTAGACTCCGCAACTAGGTGGCGTTGCTGGTACCTTTTTATAAATGTAATCTTATTTTTTATTAGATTTTAATTCCCCCGCCTCACAAGGCTGACATCAGTATTTGAAGTGTGTTTGTATGTGTGTATAATGTGTGTGTCGGCTCACTAGTAATCTGACGAAGAATGCTTGTTTGCACGGAGAACACAGAGGCTCTGATGGCATAAACTCTGCAAGCGTTGATTAATGTTTAAGGACAGCAATGCCGTTTTTTGTTAACAGCTGATGTTATCTGCAAATGTACTTTGACCTCTCACTTTGCCCCTGGAGTCGGCCTCCTCATGTACTTGTTACACACACACACTCACTTGTGTGAACAAACGAGCTCTCCAACTTAAACACTTCTTCCCCGATATCAACATGTAATCGCCATGCACACATGACCCTTTTGGGCGTCAATGTTTGCAATCTATTGGTGGCAGTCACTTGGTTCTTTTCCAGAGGCCCCCCTCCTCATCCTGTTTTATTATGTTGGATATATGTAAACTACATATTGAGTAGCCTTGATAACCCGCATATGTGCCAATTCTGTCACTTGCGAGAATTATTTAATAAATGTCCTGTTTAATGATTTAATGAGGAGTTCTATCACTATTGTTTTCTTCATTGAGCTGTAAATAGTTACCGATCTGCAGTACCATAAAAAGAAAAAAGCAGCACAAAAGCTGTTCATTTTGAGGAATACCTGATGATTTTGCTTAAGTACTTCTTGCTATATGTATTCAGTTACTTTTCACCACTTGTAACTTGTATCACAGTATCAGAGGAGGAACGGACATGTTTGAGACTGTAAGCTGACAAATGTTATAGGCTCTTATGCACTGGATATTTTTATGTAAAAAAATGCTGTTCACAACGTGTTTTATATATTGATACACACAGCAAATGCATATAATCCCCCAAACATCTTTATCAAATCCGGGTGTTGATAAATATACAAGTCTACCTTTTCAAATGAATAAGAACAAGTTGTTGAAAGCCTTTAACTGCTTGTCATAAGTATAATTCAATGAGATGCACACCCTAGAAGTTTTAGTGCCATTGTAAAGAGGTCAGCCAATAAAAAAGTGCTGTTGTGTTGCTACATTTTAAGTACGTGAACAATAAAAAAGTAAAAATCAAGGTTGGGCTGATTGAAGGTTTTTTTGCAGGAACAGGAAAGAAAAATGATGAGAGTCATAGAGAAACTATGAAGGAAGTTATAAAAGTGTCCTTCTGAGCTGTGAAGTATTTAAGAGCGACGTAAGATTTGAGCAATCCTCCACATTCTCATGCTCACACACAGGGAACATAGACAAGAAATTATCATAGTCAGGTGAGTGCATCTTTAATGCTGTTATACATATAAGAATAAAGGCAGGGAGTATTGGTACTGTGAAGAAATAGTAACTCGTATTACATTAATTAACAATCTTATCCAAAGGTACGATTCTACAGCAGATCTAACCGGCAGGTTTTTTAATATTTAGTCCTCAGAATCATAAACAAATACTCAAGAGAATATTACAATTTGGTTAATTATCTTGAGAAAAATATTCTGGTTACACATTTCTTTTGTCATATTATGATATTACAGACAGTATATTCTGATTGAATGTTAAAATTGTATAGCATAATGTGTTATGATAAAAATCTGAGATGGCAGGTTTCTTTGTCGATAAAATAGCATTTTCATGACTTCTTTGATTAATTATTTTAAGGTTGTTCCACGATTTAATTGTTTTAGCCAAATAGATTTGTCCTGCAAGGAAACTAAATTGGATATTTAAACCAAGGGTTAAAAAAAGGATTTATTGACGTGGAAGTTATCTCTCAAGTGTTAAGTGATGTTTGGTAGCTGACACCAAACAACACTTAACACGGTGGAGGAAAACAACCGAGAATATAAAGCACCTTTGTAAAGCACCTTTCAACAACAATTCACAGTTATTTGGAAAAACAGAAAGAATAGATCAATGAAGCACAAAGATACAAATAGAATTGTCAATTTGATTAGTGAATGTTTTGGCTCCTGCACATATGTTCTTTTCTGTTACAAGTGATGAAGTTTTGTTGAACTCTATTTTAAAATAAATGCTCCTCTCCTTTAGGTTTATCCAAGAAAAAATAAAATGAAAGCGATTTTCGGACCAGTTCTTTTCCATTTACTCCTGTTCTGTGCAGCCCCGACATTTGGTAAGTTTTTTTCTGGTTTTAAAGTCTGGTTACCAAGAATTTATCTGACATTTTACCCTCTTTTGTGCTTTTGTCTAAACTTTATCCTCCCTTTTGCTAAGGTGTCCGGATCCAGTCAGTCCCTGCAGTCACCAGTGACGGTGTTATTCAGACAGAGCTGGAACGGACCGTGTCTCTGGTTTGTCAGCTTGACGCCGGCCACGAAACTCCGGTCGACGATGAGCTGGTGTGGCTGAGGAATGGCCAAGCCGTCAGTCTGACAGAAGGAAATAAGAAGGGTCGAAGCAGCGTGTGCGTTACACCCATCATCTATAAAGATAATGGGGCTACTTTCACCTGCCACCTGAGCAAAAACGTCACAGTTACGGCCTCAGTCACACTGAATGTCACATGTGGGTCCCTTTAAATAGTTATCTCTGAAAAAAGTTAATTATTATGATATTATGGATGGCAATATCAGTTTGCTGGTCCCCACTAAAATGTTTTACAGACATTTAGGAGGAATCCCACTGACTCCAGTGATCCCTGGACTTCTCCTTAAATGCTAGCGTCAAGTCGAGATTTCGCTCGGTCCAATATTTTTGTCAAGACAAAATCTAATTTCCGTCAACCTCAAGTCTACATTCTGTTTAGGCCTGACGCGCCTGCCTAAGATGGTGACCACGTTGACGTCATCAGTTGCAGTCCGTATTTATTTAGTATGTATCACTACGAATTTGTAGGTTCAAGATTTTCGATTATACATTTTTACGAACAGGTTTTGGAGATCAGGCTGTCACGTTAGCACAGCTTGCGTGGCTGTCTGTCTTTAGGCGAAAAGGTGATGATGACATCGGCTTACATGCACTATAATGTTTACCCTTGTCCTCCGTCTCTGTTAACAAGATACCCTTTTTTTAGAATATATATTCTAGGCGCCATTGCCACACTGAGGAGTGGTTGGCATTGCTAAAGCTGCCGGCTACGAGATTCATGAATGAAGCGGCGTTTCTTTTCAGATCACCCACAGCTCTCTGGCTTGGAGGAAGTTGAAGTAGAAGAAGAGGCAGAGCTCGTCCTGCGGTGCGACAGCTGGGCCAATCCACCTGTCTCCTCTCTGTCTTGGACACTGAATGGAAGCGTGGTGGATCTAACAGTAGGTCGATTCTCGTTGACCAATGACGGCTGCACGAGCCAGCTCAGCGCCAACCTGGTGGAGAAAGGCTTGCATGAGGGCACTTATCAGTGCATAGCGACGTCTCCCATCTACGGCGAAAGCAGCAGGCAATTCAGAGTCACAGTGACAGGTCAGTTGATGCAATCAAGTGTAATCAGCACATTGATGAGTCGGTGAGGGATGACAAAGTGGGTTGATCATTTTCCTCCTCTTTGTCCGTAGAAAAGACATTGAAGCTCCCGCTGTATCCCATAATAGCAGGAGTAGTGGTGGTGTGCCTCACCGGGCTCCTTGCTGTTGTTTCACGGTGGACTAAAATATCAAAGGTAAAAAAATGCAACACTTATTGACAGACAGCCCATGAATCAGAATTGGAAACTGTTTATTGCCAAGTGCATTACACATACAAGGAATTTTTAATTTCAAAACATAAAAAAGGAATATTTAGTAAATAATATGTTGATGAAATAAGCGTATGTTAAAACAAGCATGGGAATGACCGTGACTTGTTACAAAGTGAGCCTACTAATTCTTTCTTTCTCTCTTGACAGTGCTGCAGGTAGGGTGTCCAGGCTGACATGACCAGTACAACAACCCAAATTAGAGCATGGTGTCATCTGGCAATTTTAAACCACTTTTTGGACCTCGCGTTGACTGCTTTTACTGGAAGATTCGGCTCTGGTTTTCTCTAGTTCACCGAATAAGAGAAGCCATGAAGATATCAAAACTTAGTTTGTAGTTAATTTTGCATGCATGAGACTGTGATGAGCCATGAATTCTATCCTATTTTCCTCTTTTTTTAAGGAATATTTTGTCATTTTCTTTCACAAAATTTTTGCCTGTTGCTGTTGATTGTTGCTTCCACACTGAGCATTTGAAGAGCAATTGCACTCTCTTACAGAGTGTGTTTGTTAAATATAATAGAGAAGAACAATTGCACATTTCTGGTGTAAAACCACAAAATGCATGTTTTGCGCTGGTTGAAGAAGATAGTTCTATTACAAACTTTAAGTCCTCAAAGTTATCATTGTCCATTGTATCATCTTTAGGTTAAACCAGAAAGATCCGTAAAATGTTCAATATGACCTTCAAATAATCGTTAGACGTATTACTTTTCATATTGTGATGCACTTCTGCCTGTTTCTTGTTATCAACTTTGCAATACAATTTGCAATTGTTTTCTTGACATTGTGATCTGTAGTTGTGACATTAGCACTGAACTTTAACTTCTGACTCATCAATGTAATAAACACTTTAAAATCAGGTTATACATTTACTCTTAATGCGTCAAAAAGACAGGGATAACCATCATATGAGGGTCAAAGTCTAGACCTTTGTCTTTCACTAAGAAAAACACTTTTAACAAGTTCAAATAAAACAGATCACTGATCGTAACACATTTGACAACTTTGCAATTGCTCAGTTATTATAATTACAGTACCAACACAAGCTTGACTGAAGGTGATGATTACGAAAGAAGCTGCTTGGTTAGGCTTGCAGCTTTGAATAGTTAAATACGTACCTCGAGGGTTCTTTCCTGTATCTGGCTGTGCAGTTGTTTCCAAAAATCTGAAATAAATGATACTATAAGGCCTAATTTATAGCTTCTAAGAAATTCTCAGTTTTAATGAAATTTTGAGTTACAAAAATTATTATTAATGTTGCACAAAGCTTTGGTTTTGTTTTCTAATTTATTGTAGTATACACATGTGAGTTACAATAACATTATGAAGTTAAAGGAAAGTGGAAAAACATGCCTGATGATGCCTTTTTGAAATCACTAAAATGAAATCGGTAGACAAAGGCGTATTTTCACACGCAGGTCTGCAGGGACATCTGCTGGTGTCTTTAAAACGTACAATTAAGATGTACTGTATGTTTGTGTAAATGTGCCAATAAAGTTAAAAAAAACACACATCAGAGTGTATGAAAAATAACGTATTAGCATTGGTATTTAGAGAACAGTTTTCAATTGCTGTCAATTTATTAAAATTTGGGGTACAGAATCTTAAATGTTTCATTGTACAAAAACAAAAACGGCTCCAGCAACAACACCAATTGGCCTAAAAACTTGATGAATTGAATAAACTGTCTGGTAGGTTTTGGTAACAAAGACTGAATGTTTTATAACCTAAGATAAGCTTTATTGCTGTACTGTTGTGCGACTAAGAAGAAAGTATCCTAAATAACTGTAGGAGTAAGAAAATGGCACTGTACATTGGAAAGCTATTTTAGAAAAGGTGTGACGTTGTGATGGTGATTTTAGTGATGATAATATCTATATTATAAAGATGTATGCAATGAATCTGCAATCAAACAAAGAGAATACTAGATAAAATAAGATAATTCTTCCTTAGTCCCATGTTCCGTTGTCACACAGACATAAAAAACAAGATCAAAACAGTTATAAATATGCTGCGGTCAATTAAATGAAATGAAATATTATATATACAGACATATTAAATATTACATACAGATATTATGCATACAGAAATGACTGTTGTTGCACATGTTTTGGAGGATTTTGTGGTCTACTGCAGTCCGTTGTAATGTATTGGCATTCATTTGATCAGCTGACGACAACCACAGACTGTATGACAACAACCCCTCACGCCGAGACGTAACCGAACGTGTTACGTCACACTGGGGGCTTTGCGTGAGGGGCGTGGTGACGCGTAATGCCTGCGTGCGGTCTGCGGTCCACCGCCAAATTCAAACAGGGAGAAAGGAACAGCAGGAGCAGGCAGGTACTTTGACGCTAAGCTACCGGTGAGGCAGACGGTTACATACTTGATATTTAACGTAAGTAATTTAACGTAAAGGTGTTTTAATTAGTTAAGCCGAACTGAGCCAACGCGTTTACGTGCGATAAGCCGAATGGCGCGTTTTTTTGTTCTTAACGTTTAGTGAATGAGCAGCTTTCACGGTTAAGAGTTTGCATTGTCTTTTTTTTTTACTTCACGCAACTCTGATTGCGGTTCTTGTTTGGCGCGTTAATTACGTAACTTTCTCTGGTAGCTGTGCGCAATGTCGCTTATCGTTGACACAAGAAGATAAAAACGGGCAGAGAAAGTTATAAATCCGTATCAAACAATGGCGACACAACTTTCCCCAACGCGATGAACCGCTGAGCGAGTGATTGTTACGAGTCACTTCCCGTCAACTTTATCAGGGACAAACCGATAATAATTGTGGAGAATTTTCTTACACCAGCTAACTGTTATCTAAATGTATTGTTTTAGCTTACGGTTGTGAGTGTTAAACATGCGTATCTCTGGATAATGTCGGGAGAATAATTTAATGCCGTATGTGACCAACGTTAAGGACTTTGCTTATGTATCATTTTAATTGTAATATTGTATTATTGTTTTCATCCTCAACTAATCTATTCATTCATAAAACGCCCCTTCCTTATTTCTGAGTATGACGTATTTAAATAGATTGCTAAGTCTAACCAAAAGTATGAAACTCATAAACTTGATTCGCATTTGATAAATAACAAACATTTAAATGGTGACTTGAATAAGAATGAAACCCAATGTTCTAATTGATTATCAGAGATGTTGCAGAATGCTTAACTGCCATAACAGTAAGTCTGCCTGAGACATAAAGTTGCTGTCTAGCACGACCATTTCAAGAGCCTTATTCATAAAGCTCTTGAAATGGTTGTTTTAAAATGCTGCTACTTTTATTATGTTATAATACACACACACACACTGTTGTTGTCTTTAACCTGCGCTCCCATCTTTCAGGTAGGTCAACACTGGAATCTTCCATGATGGATGGACTAGGTAAAGCTGTGGTGGGAGTGTGGCGAGCGCACACCACCCTGGATGAGTCTGACGGTGCGGAGAGCTCCCCAGAAGCCCCCGACCGCTTCCGCAAGCTTCGCTCGTCATCTTCACTCAACTCTCTGCGAATGTCCTTGCGCAAGCGGCTCCCGCTGCGCTCCGTCCAGGCCAACTCCTTCCCGGAAAACCCAACTTCGGAAACCCAGAAGGAGCAGCCGAAGCCCAACGCGGTCCGCAAACTTACACGCAGTGCTCGGAACTCCATCACTGAAGTATATCAGGTAATATACCTGTATGGTTTTCAGTCCGTTTTTACACCCCTTCCTTTTAAATAATTTGTTCGCCGCTCATCATCCTGTGCCCGTTTCTCTCTAAAACCAGAGACTGCAGCGGACAAGAGAGTTTGCACGCGAGGAGTGTTTGGTAGCGACCCCCGGTGGGACATGCGACGAGGAGGAAGCGGCAGCATCGACTTCCCGCACCCCAAGACGCACGCCCGGACGGGGTGCGACACCCAGACGTACCCCCCGATCGGCTGCCACGCCTGCACGTACCCCTGGCTCCAGAGGAAGAAGGACTCCCGAGGCCGGCGTACGCGGGGTGAAAAGGGAAGGAGGCCGGCGGCAGCTGGTCCGCATGGCTGCTTTACAAAGTCCCTTTGCGTCCCCCAACACACAGAACCAGAGGAAGTGAGTCCTCTGTTGTTCCTGCAGGCCATGTTCATCTGCCGCTTTCATTCATGTGATAATTGTTTGTTGGTTTTTCTTCTGTTACAGAAGGTTTGACAGTGATTTGGAGTCGGTGTCCAGTGGGATCAGGAGGCTGAAACATCTGTCCAAGGCCTTTGACAACATAGTTGGCAGAGACAACAGGTAAAGTAACTTTTAGTTTACTGCGTCTTCATGGCTCTCTTCTTTCATTTTACTTTTAGTCATCATTGTTGATTTCCCTTTGATGTTTTGTCGAAGTGGCTTAAAGGGAAATCCAATTTCCGTATGTGTGAATGGAAGTGTGTGTGTGTGTGTGTGTGTTTTGTTGGTGAATGAGTGTTGTGTGTATGGTGTTGGTCCATTTTCTGTCATGCATACTTATTCTGCACAAAGGAGCCCACAGAGACTCATGATTCTCCCCGACTTCGCCCGAAGAATCTCCTTCCCCTCCCCCGCACACATTCTTCCAGGCTAGATTTGAAACTGCAACTGTTTCCGGTATTCCAACGAGGAGGGAGCAACAGGGGCGACAGCAGCGGGAGAGGAAGGGGGCGGGTGTATGGGTGTGGGAATGGGGGCCAGATGAAATGTCAAAAATGTGCTTGAGAGGGCTTGGAGTACAGATTTACATCACTTCCTGTGTTGATGTTCAAATGGGCGGCTGTGTGTTATCAGCTGTTATGTAGCCAGCGACCTTCCCCCCTGAATGGAAGGTTTGTCCCTCGGAAATTTCAACCCAAGTGTGTTTTCCTCCTACAACAGGCAGTTCAACTATTCCACTATTCCCTAATTGAGGAGTAGGGAAGAAGGTAAATCTAAACATCTGAACATTGTGCTTCTAAAACCAGAAGAGTTGTGGAAACATGTGCTCTAAAATGTAACTCATTTTGTGGCATGAAAAGCATGGGCGCCTGAGTGTATGAAAAACGCCTCTTACCTACCGAGTAATGAAGACGATCTTCTCCATCAAACTAACACTTTCTTCCTCCTTCTCTATCCTTTCCTTACTGACTTGCTCGTTGGCCGTATCAGCTGACATGCTCTCTCCAACTTACAGGGTGTGTGCAAGTAAAGCTGTATATTTTTTTTATTGAAATGTAAATAGACTTCACATACACCAAAATGATATGACCTCACACTACTATAAAAGTCTTTAAAAATCTTGGTACTAGGTTTACCATTTAGAAACATTGAGATAATGACCACAATTGCTTTAGTTTTTCTCATTTTGGATAGAATAAACATATAATGTCAACCCTCTTCTTCATTAAACAAATGCATTTACTTTCCACATCATTTAGGATATTCCTATGAAGAGAGAGAGAGGGGTACATCGTTGACGCCTGTGCACACTTTAATAAGTCCTTCTCTCTGCAGTACACAGGGACGTTCTGGAGGCGCCCTGATGAGAAAGTTGGATCCCAGCGGTAAACTCTGTCGCTCCAACCTCACGCGTCGAGCCTCCAACCTCTCGAACACACTCGGAAGTTGGAGCAGCACTATTCTCAAACCCAACTGAGCTGCACGTGTGTATGTAAAACACACCGGACCTCTTTTTTTGTAGCCATGTTTCACATTTATCTTTCTTGAGGTGTACGTTGTTGGTGTGAGACTGGGAGACCGTTACGTGGCAGCTTGTCTGTCTTTTTTTAATGTTAAAGTAATTATTGTCTGTTTACATGTCTCCGGTTAGCTGGTTGTGGTCCAAACATCCTCATCGTAGCTACCAAAGGGATTTCTGTGTTGTCTGTCGTCACAGCTGCTGCAGCCACGCGTCTGCGCTACATTTTCAAGTACAGATTTACATTTCTTTATTTGTATTGTCACTCTTTTCTCAGAAACCAGTTTTTACAATTATCTTTATAAGAAAAAACATTGTACTCCAGAACTAACACTAAATTGACAAATGGAATATGCATTTTCCTGTACTTCATATGTATGCAATAATGTTACTAAATTGTGTTATTCCTTTCTTATAATGTGAAGATTATTTTGTTTTTTTACACAATAGCGATGGTAGTATTTGAGTCAAGTTGTTTCCTATTTTCCTTGAGGCGGTGTTTAATGGCCTGTGAGTGACCCATGCATCAATACCATTCACGTAAATCAATTGATAAAGTAATGGGGGAAGCTGTAATGACCTGTTCCCCTGCGTCAACGATGATGATAATGTCATAAAGCCATATTCAGCAAGTTATTAATGCTGTGACTGTCAAAGAAATGCTCCCAAATTAAGCAAAGCCTTGCCGTTCCTATGTATTAGTACTGCATTTTAAGAGAAAGGAGGAAAAGAATCAAACAATAAAGCCTGTAAGCTTCAGTGATCTGGAAGTTGTGTCTTTGTTTTATTTTTTGTGTCCTCTATGTAGACGACAGATGTAGTCAAAGCAATTATGCTTTTTGGGATGACTGTGCTCTGATCCATTCTAGGGAAAAAGGAACCATGGTGAATTTCTTCAAATCTGACAAATGTCTCCATGGGACAACGTAATGTGATTACATTTCACGGGTTATTGTGACATTTGACTAAAGCTAGAATATTATTTTATAGATCGATCTGGATCTTCATAAAAGGAAAGTCCATTGTAGCATGACTAGCAGGCTATTTACTTTTTTTAAATTGATAAGGATTTAGAAATTGAATCATGTAATAAAAATAATGTGATTGGGTGACATTGACTCCTATTGTTTGTATTACTGTTCGTTCACATGTGTTTCACTTATTTTAGTGGATGCAGTTGCAACTTATTCTGGCTCAACGTCATATTTAAACAGGTAACAAATAAACTACTTTATATGTAGTGTAAGCTAAACATTGTTAGGAAAAAATACAGTTCTACAAATACGGTATACAATTGTGAGGCAGCCTTCTTATACTGTGTATATTCTGTATATATGATATGCTTTTTATTCCAATTTTGCCAAAAGTAGCAATTACACAATAATAAATAATTATGTACTTTTGCAAACGAGGGACTTTTACACTTATTACCTGGTAGTTTTAGTTCTTCTAATTAACCGTGAGACGACAGCTCCCCCGAGTGGTGCGTCGCGGTCACTGCAGGTGAAACGAGAATCGCTCCGTTTGTCCCTCGTAGCTTCTCGTCCTCAATCCCACGCCTCGCTGCAGTCGCTCCTCCCCAGTCTCTCCGGCTTTGTACCACGAACTGAACCCACGCCGCAGCTACCATCTCCAAGAAACCGGGGCTGCTAAAACATCCCAAAATGGCTCTTCACGTTCCCAAAGCGCCGGGCTTCGCCCAAATGTTGAAGGATGGTGCCAAGGTGAGGTTAAATCCGTGGTTCGGATCGGTGTGGCGGCGCCTGGCGTGTGGTTGTTAACCAGCATGCTAGCTAGCTTTAGCCACCGAGTTTGCACGCACATTCACCGTCATGTGGGAGAGTTCTAGAAGGAAGCCATGCCGCTCGGATAGACAAAAATGGCTGCGTAGTTTGACTTTTTCTCTCTCGAACTTTAACGCGCTGTCTTTGTCTACAGTGTTGTAACTTTATTTGCAAGAACGTTTACCCCCTGCGACAGTCACAAGTCACACCCAGTTAGCATTGAGCTAACTGTCACAGCGGATGCTTCGATTGTCACCGCTCAGAGATGCTGATGCTTCTTCTGCGTTGGCTCACCATACACCTGCGGGCTTTGTCCAAGTAGCGTATTGTCTCGGGATGATTTTGTTTGATTCATTAACGTGTTCTTTTGCAGTAGATGAATTGCAATTCAACTCTACAAAAGGCGCGGCAGTCGAGTTACATTGTGTTTTTTGTTCCCCCTCTTGCGCAGCACTATTCAGGGCTGGAAGAGGCAGTCTTTCGTAACATCAAAGCCTGCAAGGAGCTTTCTCAGACCACTCGCACCGCCTACGGGCCCAATGGTAAGTGTCTGCCCCCCCCTCCCTCTCTCCTCCATCAGTTTCAATGAATACAATGTACATTGGTGAGACAATGAAAACAGAGAAATGGTTTTAAACTATGACATTGTGTCCTTCTAGGTATGAACAAAATGGTCATCAACCACTTGGAGAAGCTCTTTGTCACCAATGACGCAGCAACGATCCTCAGAGAGCTTGAGGTGAGGGAACCCCACATTCTCGTGCATCACGCTGCTTGCAGGAACGATTTTAAAGAGACAAAGCTTTTGAACTGTTTTTAAATGACATGTCATTTGTTCTACAGGTGCAGCATCCCGCTGCCAAAATGGTCGTAATGGCATCCCACATGCAGGAGCAGGAGGTTGGAGACGGTACAAACTTTGTGCTGGTGTTTGCTGGAGCTCTGCTGGAGCTGGCTGAGGAGCTTCTTCGCATGGGCCTGTCGGTGTCGGAGGTAAACCAATGTAGTCACTGAACATTGTTGTTGTGACAATGTGACGGCAGGGTGATAAAAGCGCTACAGTTGATTGTCTTCTTTGATACTGTGATATTAAGCATTATCGATAGGATAAAGTAAGGGTCTTTTAAATTGAGACAGCATTCTATAAACCATTTTTGCCGTGGCTGCATTTGCTCAGTGTGCTCTTACCTCTTGGACTTCAGGTGATTGAAGGCTATCAGAAGGCGTGCAAAAAGACTCTGGAGATCCTGTCCGACTGCGTGTGTTCCTCAGCCGAGAACCTCCACGACGTGAAGGAGGTGACCTCTCTCATCCGTACAGCCGTCATGAGTAAGCAGTATGGCAACGAAGACTTCCTCGCCAACCTCATCGCACAGGCCTGTGGTGAGTCAACACCTTTAATAATTATTGATTTGTTGTTGCAGCCCAACTGTCATATAAGTATACTACATTTTTAATTGCCAAATTATATGTTTTGTGTTGCCATCCAAGGAATATCGTTTCCGTTCTGTTAACGATTTATATTTTTTTAAATGATAAATTGCAGTTTAAAACAAAACCGCTGCAGACCACCAACCTCAAACACATGAACTGTTAGCGGTTGGAGATGATTAACTTGGTGGTATTCATTTAGCATTTCACTGACTCTTCATATCCGTTTGTGCTTTAGTGTCCATCTTCCCAGAGTCCGGCAATTTCAATGTTGATAACGTCAGAGTGTGCAAGATCCTGGTGAGCAGTGCCCTCCATTGTATATATTTTGTCCTTGTTCGTGTGGGTCGTTTGCCTCCCAAGTTGATTTTTTTTTTTTGGTGGTGTTTTCAGGGCTGTGGCGTGACGGCGTCCTCCATGCTGCACGGCATGGTCTTCAAAAAGGAAGCCGAGGGAGACGTCACGTCGGTAAAAGATGCCAAAATCGCCGTCTTCTCCTGCCCCTTTGACTGCATGGTGACAGAGACCAAGGTAATGGATGCTCCGTCTTTAGAGAGTTCTGACCCACAACAGATGAAATCAATTGAGCTTATGTTTCATGTAACAAAAGCTGTCCACCCACTCACATTTTACCTAATATAAGAGTATGTAATCAGGACTTTCTTTTCACTCGAGATATATTTTATGTCACACATTGTGACCAAATAATATTTAGTAGCTTCAGTTTCCGCATCTTGTCATTGTGGTTGGTTCTCTGTCACAAGGTGTTAGAACCGAGCTGTCATGAAAATGTAAAAGAACGTGTTCTCCTACTGTGACAAGTCAAACTGTCTTCTGGGAAAAGAGCCTATTATAAGGACACTTTGGATTTTTGGTGCCCAAATAGTCTTTATTTTCGTCACAGGGCACAGTGCTGATAAAAAACGCAAAGGAGCTCATGGACTTCAGTAAGGGGGAGGAGGACATGATGGAGGCGCAGGTGAAGGCCATCAAGGAGTCCGGTGCCAACGTGGTGGTAACTGGGGGGAAAGTGGCTGACATGGCGCTGCATTACGCCAACAAGTACAACCTCATGGTGGTCAGGTAAGACCCGGATGACCTCTGATCATTCAAATCAGCGTTGAGTTACAATGTTAAAGTGCTACTATTACTTTTTTCCTAAATGAATTTCCTTTTTTTAAATGAATGTTCAAAATAGTCTTTGTTGTAGAATACCTTTTTAATCGCAATGTCCTAAATCACCTCATCAGGCTGAGCTCCAAGTGGGACCTCAGGAGGTTATGCAAGACTCTGGGATCTATAGCACTACCCAGACTGGTGAGTGTGCTTCCTTTCAGATCAGCTGTATTGGCCACGTTAAAACGCAACATATCATATATACTGATGCTTTTTCCTTAGACGGCCCCAACGCCCGAGGAGATGGGTCACTGTGACAACGTCTACACCGCAGAGGTGGGGGACACCCAGGTGGTGGTCTTCAAGCATGGTAAATCTTTCTTTGCTGCCGGCTCAAAAGTCTTCATTTTATACCTGATATTTACTCTTCTAGTTTCATGCTCAACGCGTTGTCTGATCTTGCTTTGTTGCAGAGAAAGAGGACGGAGTCATCTCAACGGTGGTGATTAGAGGTTCCACGGACAACCTGATGGACGACATCGAGAGGGCTGTGGATGACGGAGTCAACACCTTCAAGGTTCTGGTCAGGGTAAGTTGAATCACTGTATGAAAGAATCTTTCGACCGTTTTCAAGTTTAAGTTACAATTTTATCATGTATACGTTTCAATATATCTCAACAGACACAGTGAGTATTGACTCATTTTTTGCCTTAGTGTTTCTGCTCATTTGTGGCTCACCGTGCACAGCCGCTACAGTTTCTGTGTTCTTCACTGTCTGCAGGACAAGCGACTGATTCCTGGAGCAGGAGCCACTGAGATCGAACTGGCCAAACAGATCACCTCGTATGGAGAGGTACGCCCATTTTAGTGCATAAAGAAGTGCACCAGATTCATAGAACGGCCCCCTGCGTGGGTTTGGATCACTGATGAATTTAACAAACATGACCGTTCTCCCCCACCCCCTCGCTCTCTGTAGTCCTGCCCGGGTCTCGAACAATATTCCATCAAGAAGTTTGCTGAAGCCTTCGAGGCTTTGCCCCGGTCGCTGGCTGAGAACTCTGGTGTGAAGGGGAGCGAGCTCATCTCCAAAATGTACTCTGCGCATCACGACGGAAACAAAAACATCGGCTTCGACATCGAGGTTTGTGCACAAGACAAGATCCGACCAAAGCGGGATGGCGTGTCAGTGTGGTTCACTGAAGATTTCACATGTCGTCATATCACAGAGAAAAGGCATTTAACAAAACGGTGTAGCTGGTTATAATGCATAATTATGCTCATTTATGTCATTTAGCTTTAGCAACTATAGCTCGAGCACGTTCAAACAGTTCATACAACTTCCGTTTTCCTGTATGCCCAAATGGAGACATTAATCTGTGTGTGTGTGGTTCTGATGACTTGTACTGTGGATATGATGTCTTCAGGGAGAAGGCCCCGCTGTGAAAGACATGCTTGAAGCCGGCATCTTGGAGCCTCACCTGGTCAAATACTGGGGCATCAAACTGGCAACCAACGCTGCCATCACAGTACTGAGAGTGGACCAGGTGTGTGAAAAGAACTCAAACGCTCGCAACACTCACATGATTGAAATCAACTTCCAAATCATGCACAATAATTGTTTTCTTTATAAATGGAGGCGTTAATTCTTATTTCATATTGAGAACACAGTCCAGATCTCAACATTTTCAAACTTCAATACCCTTTTATTTTTTAATGTACGGTAATGGTATATTTTTTGGTGTATTTTAATGAAGGGTTTGCCTTTTGACGTCTTCACCAGCTTTACATCCACATAAAGCCGATGACGTCTTACCAATTGTTTCTATCCAGTTTTACCATTATTTTTGCAGCGTTTTATATTTTAATGTAAACCCAAAGGATCTACTTCAGTTCCACAGGTCAGGTGTTTTGGGGAAGTCCTTTGTGAATTGATGGTCTCCAGGTAGTTGACGTCAGTGTGTGTGTATATATGTGCGATGCAGATCATCATGGCTAAGGCTGCAGGGGGACCCAAGGCTCCCAAGCAGAGAGGCCACTGGGACAAAGACGATTGGGACGAGGCGCCTGATAATTTTGACTCCCACCATTAGACGGCGTGCACACACATACACACACACGCCCTCAGTCAGTAGGTCCTGGAATGCGAGTGGTTTTTTTTACTCACACAGATGTGCTCACGAAACAATGATTGTCATGAAACGTTTTTTTTGCCTGTCACTACTAACGGCCACTTGAGTGTTTTTCAATAATTCCAAATGTGTCACGGACAGCCGACTAAAACTTGCACATAACGGATACAGTGTGGTTTGATGGCATGCTGCATGCGCTCATGAAGGCTGTTTATGGCAGTGGACGTCCTCCACTGAATTGTAAAATGTTGCATTTGATGTACAGGGAACATGTAAATGAGCAACTCTGTTGTCTGGAGCGTCATTTTCTACTACATCACAATCGGGTGTATATGGATCTAGTCCAACTAGCTGCACAGTGAGCGATTCATTTACCCCACCTTCAAGATCAGATCAAGTGAACATTAACTAACTGCTATGGAGCTCCTGAAGTGCTGAGATTAGTTTGATCTGATGATATATTTATTCTTAATCTTTCAGCATCACTTGCATTTCTTACAGCATACGTATAGCTCATGAATACTTCATCAGCCCTTTTGACTTTGGCCCAAAGTCATTTTTAGCATGGGTTTAAGCAAATATTCCTAGTGTGTATTTGAGTTGTTTCCATGCTAACTAGTGTCAACCGTCTGAGTGTTACCCGTTACCTCACAGCCTGTTGCGTGGATCCTCTGTGCTCTTGATTTCCAGACAGAAAGGACTCACTGACTGCTGTGTTTTCTCCCTGCAGATCATCATGGCTAAACCAGCAGGGGGACCCAAACCCCCCCAGGGCAAGAAGGACTTTGATGAGGACGACTGAAACTGATGCTCCTATAACCCCCAACGCTCACACAAAACGTTTTCTACTTGTTTATTTAAAGCTCAACAGTTTGATTTATTTTGTAGAAATGACATCATATTGACTTACATGAAAGTCAAATGTACGGATGGCACTGTTCGCTTTTCTTTTTTTGTTCTATGTCCCAAATAAAAGGCCCTTGGGCTGTTACGCCTTTGTTTGGATCTTGTTTTTACTTTTAAGTCGATCTGATATGATTTGAGTCGTCTGATCGTTCAACCTGTAGGAGTAACTCGACTCTATCCTGTGAGATCACCTCCCTGTGGATAATTTATGTTTACGGTTGCCCAGTGGGTTTGCTCTTAATGTCGTGTGGAGACGGCAACACATGTGCTCATACCGGTTTATTTTCAGAACCAGTGGTGTGACGCTTGAAAACCTCCCACTACATAATACATTCGTAGTTCTATTGGTGCACGTGTTTAATTTAGTGCATGCGTTTAATTTATTCCCCGATAACAAACACATAATGCAAACAACGGGAATTGTCATGTATGTGTAAACCCGATGCCTACAGCTGTGGTCGCGGACCAGCAGGGGGCGCTGAACCTCCAGGTCGGCGGCGTCATTGGATGCGAAGGAGTGGGCGGATTTGCGCTGACGTTGCCCATGCTCGGGATTAACTTGTTTTCATGTGGCCATATCCGACGCATATTCCACCGGACAGTCCGCTCAACCCCCGGCAGATTGTGCACAAATCGCGTTATTCGGCGTCGTCTACCCTCGAGTTTGTCCGCGTCGCGCGCGCAGCCGTAGCCGGGAAGGCGCGTTGTTCGGTGCGAGGTGCCTGGATGCGGAGCAGACGTCGCTCGGGGCTGACGGTGCTGATGTCCTGTCACGGCGATGGGGGCCGACGGTAGTAAAAACCAGAAGGTGAGAGGAAGTTCCTGCTCTGCTTAAAGTGTGACGCGGGATGGAGGGGCCCTCTGTTTCCATGGTGATTTGATTCCAGGTATACCATCGACGGCGCTTATTCTGGGTGACTGTTTACATATTTAAGCAGTCTATTGGAATAAAGTGTTATCAATTTTCACAGTAATTTAACATTAATAGTTTATTTGGCTTGCTGTTGCCCCTTAGTATTTTTCGGCCGCCTTCAAAAGTTCCTTCTAATATTTACGCTTTTACTTTGAAGACTACATCCATCACGCTTCCGGTATCGAAATCAATTTGTAATCGAACCCCGGCCACATTAAATCCCACCGTTGCTCTGCCTGTAGTCAGATGTCAGGGAGATGTCGCATTGATTGCAGCTATTTCTGCACAGTGACATCCTGCGTGGTTGACTACACGCATCCTGCCCAGGGGAGGATGGGCGCGTGTGTCACTGGCTCATAGCAGACTGGATGAATAATAAGCGTTATGATTCTCTCTGTTGTTCAAACTTAAATGATAGCTGGAACGGTTAAGGGAATAACCGCTGGCCACTGCAGCTCCTTGGATGCATTTTAGTTGGTTTGCACAAGGACACACAGGGAAATAAGACTGATCGTTTTGCAAATGTAATCAACATTTAGTTGGAGATAGAGATTTAAATCACATACACACACATACTCAGTCACCTCTGTATGCAGCAAAGTTTTTGAGAAGCAAAGAAAATCATTGTCTGATTTCTCATTCAGAATACAAACCAATGGCTCCACAGCCGGATACACACTGAATTTCAACAGCAGAAGATGTTTGTATTAAACGGCTCCCCAGTGCATGTGAAGCAATGCTTACTTTTCTTCGGTTAAACAGTGACTATAAATATCTTTTTTTAAAGGCCAACCTTTTGTCCTGCGTAGCTTAAACCAGCACAGTTGGCTTGTGAGTTTTGGCATTATGAACATCCAAAAGGTCAAGTAAAAGAAGAAAGTTGCTTTCAGCAGTGCACGTCTGCCTTGATAAGTGTCTGTTGCATAAAACACAAGCGAATGGTCCCTCGAGTTGGCTAAAACACGACCAGCGAGGCCCTTGACATCTTCCCACATAATATATTCACAGACACAATTAATAACAACTTGCACCTGCAGCACCATCTCCTATCCAGTACCATAATGCTCCCCTGTGCATTCCTCTTCCCATTGCCCCCCCCCCCCCTGCAGAGGTCCGCTGAGGGGCAGGAAGATGAGGACCTCTCATCCGGCTGGCGGGGCTTCCTCTCCAGCGTGGGCCTGTCCGTCCCTGCGGGCTTGTGTCGCCTGGCCCCACCCGCCCTGCGTCTGGGCCGGCATCGAATGCTCCAAGGAAAGGCCCCCGACATCCCGGAGCACGTGCTGAGGCTGGCGGGGGTCGGCCCGGGGATGCTGAGAGCGGAGTGGAGCCTGCCGGGGTTCATTACCATGTTCCTGCCCGAATTCCCCCACAGGGCCGTGCCTGGGCACGAACACTTTCAGGTAGACCTCAATTCCGACATGGACACGGGGGGATATGTGAGGCTCGATCTGGTTGGCTCCGTCTTTGTGTTGGCATCGCTCTCTCTTTCTGCCGCTGCCATTGCTTTTTAAATTTTTTCGCTCCCCCAGGTGTTGAGTTACATCGCCAAAGGCTCGTTTGGACCCATTCTGAAAGTGAAGGACAAGGCCAAGCAGAAAACGTATGCTGTCAAAGTGAGTCTTCTGCAGGAATCTCATATTTTAAATGTGTTTACTGGATCAAAGCCACACATGAACGGCCGGTTTATTGATTCATGAAAACAGTATGTAATTCGTCTCAAGTTAAAATATAGACAGTATGAAATTTCTTGTGTTTGACTGTTTTTAACTTCTTACTATTGAAGGCCTGTAAAATTAGCTAAAGGTTCATTTAATATTCACATCACTGCAATTATATTTGTAAACTACAATAATGAAATATGTATTGTGCCACTTTAAAATCCTTGCAGTCCTGCATTTTGAGGTCTTTATCTTACCTCAGTATTTTTTTACGTCCAACAGGTAATACCTAAATCCGAGATTCTAAGACTCGGGGTGTTGGAGCAGTCAAAGGAAGAAGTTATTGTCCAGGTGGGTAAGAAAAATGGCATATTGAACATTTTCAGAAAGGATTTTTTGGGGGAAATAGTAAATACTTTTAGTCACCGGTATACACTTTTCATACAATGATCTATATTTTTTAACCTTAGGAGAATCTTGGAATTGTCATTGTCTATCCTAAGTGAAAGATGATGATTTTGATGATATTTTTTTGTTATTTTAATTAGCTCAAAAAGGACGCATCTGTGATGTCTATTTTAACCAGTTTCGTTTGTATTTCCCAACATGTCAATTTTGAGTCTTTGAATTTAAGCAACAACACCTTAAGTTGTAAGTAAAGTCACTTCTCTGGAAACACGTTGGACCCAGTGAGGAGAAAGCTGCAGCTCTCTTTGATTGGTGGCCAAAATTCCAATTTTTCAGTTTGATTTTGGATTTTCGCCCGCAGCGTCAGGTTCGCCACCCATTTGTCCATGACCTCCAGGACTGCTGGCAGACTCAGCGCCACCTCTACATTAGTGAGTCAGCTAGCGACGAGTGACCCGATCCAACCCAGATCCACTACCCCCCCCCCCCCCCCCCCAAAAAAAAAAAACCTCACTCCACCTTTTCTCAACCCAACACTGGTAGTCTTGTCCAGCACCTCTCCACAATCCCCGACCCGTCCCCGAGAACAAAATGACCATAAATAAATCCCCTCTCCTCCAGAGCATTTCCCCTTTTTTTCCTCCCCCAATCAGCCACTGACTCAGAAAGTGTGACCCAGTTTTGTTTGCTACCCCTCCTCCTGTGAAAAGAGAGCAAAGTTAGCCTGGGGAACAGATGTTGGACGTCGCTGCAGCTCAGCAAGAACGCATGTGCCACAATCGAAAGAGAGGACACCCATGCTTGCCTAAACAAACAAATTATCAGTGAATCATTATGATCTGGAGCGTATTTTCAGCAACTCAAGACTATTTAAAGCCACCTATTCCATTAAGTAGAAAGGGGTAATCCTTTATTTCACACACCTATGCACTATTTACCCCAACCCGCCTATTTGCTTTTTTCTTCTTATACTTCTTATGCTTGTTTGGTTTGTGGAAAAACTATATTTTTACCCTGTTCTGACTTCCAGTATACCCTGTTCTTTCCTGATTCCGTTCACCAGTGTGTGTGTGTGTGTGTGTGTGTGTGTGTGTGCGTTCCACAGCCCCCCCCCCCTCTCTCATTGCATGACAGAAACATGTTTTAATGCCGTCTCCCGTCCCATAGTGTGCGACTACTGCAGCACAGGAGACTTGTACACCTACTGGCAGATGATCGGTCAGTTCCCAGAGGACACCGTGCGAGTGTTTGCAGCAGAGTTGGGGTGTGCGCTCGGTGAGTACATACTACACACATGTTAGCCACCTCACTTTTGTTTTAAAATACTCTAATTAGATCAGAGGTGACTACGGGAGGGTTTTCTTAGCTGACGGTATTTAATGGGAAGTAATTATAAAGAAAGGACTCATTAAAATGGGAGTTCTCAAAGGATCTGTCACAGTAACAAAGCAGTGCCAGGGGGTTTAGATAGATTTAGATATGTCAGTAGGATTTTAAACATGTTGGTTCATTAGTCTTAAACGGTTGATCTTCTGTTCTTTTTTTGCAGGTTTTCTGCACGACTTTGGGATCATTCACAGAGATGTGAAGGTTAGAGAAGTTTTGGACCAAAATGACAGACCAATTTATATTAATACATCTGATTAATGGTCTACAAAATGAAAACAAACTGATTTATTTTTAATTTATTTTTTAATTAAGTAAAAAGGTTATTTTTGTGCAGTGTCAAACATTCAGCCATCGGAAATTGAATCAAATCACAATCAAATGGTTTCCAAATCACAGCTTACAATAAATCATCCATTAGAGACAAAATGTCAATCATACAAGTATGAATACACATCTTCTTAAGAGCAAATACTGTAGCTTAGTCTCAAATACGTTGTGCATCAAGTAACAAGAGAAGAAATGCTGTAAGCCAAAAATTATGTCCCGATCACGTTGTTTTTTTTCCCATTCTTTTTCCAAGTTACTTACTGTACATGTTGCATATGCAAACAGCCAACTCAGCACTACTTATTGTTAAAAAACAATAAATCGTGTGGATAAAACATTTACAGACTGAAGGCTTTATACTATTAGTTCAGTGTCAAATCATTAACATAATGTTGTTCCATATATGTAAATGTACGGTTTACATACGGTTTATTTCTCTCCATTGATGCTGTGTTGTGTCTTTTTGTACATTTATATTTAACTGAAGTAGAATTATATTGAACTGCACCAATGCAGTTTAAATAAAATACTTGTGTGTTTCTGGTGTAGCTACTTTCAGGCACCAGTTTACGTTTTCATAGCTTTCCTTATTAAAATGGCAAACAGTTTGTGTAGAATAATAATTAATTGCTAACTTAATAATCAAAAAAAGAAATCCGAAGCACAGAAAAAATATATATTTTTCACATCAGAGTTAATGTGGATGGATGTTTAATTTAGTCACTTTGTCACTGTTTTTTGCAGATGGAGAATATCCTGCTTACAGACAACGGTGAGTAAAAACCAGCAGAGAGCAGCATCGCTCCAGAGCACATCCTGACTGAACATCTGTCAGTCAATGGACATAAAGGTTCATCTGTTTAACACCGAGAGGGAAAACATACATTTGCTAAGGACATCTGAGTAAGATGTGAATATTTCAATTTTGAATACCAGCTATAACTGCCTCCGTAGGCAGAATCTCACGTCACACACTCAAGGATGTTTTAAAAAAGGGTAATGGTTAACGTTTATTAAATGGTCTTTTCCAGGACACCTCCGCTTGGCTGACTTTGGTTTGTCCCGTCGGCTGGAGAGAGGAGGAAGAGCTTTCACCATTTGTGGAACCATCCAGTATATGGGTGAGAAATATGTCACCTCATATGCAGAGCAACGATAAGCAGATGCCAAGCACATATCCCAAGAATGTTTTGTGTATCATTTGTAAACCCGTATCCTGCAAAATGCATTGAATGTAATGTACCAGAATATAGTGCGTGCCGTGAGCTTGAACGTGCTCTGTCTGCTCTGCAGCCCCGGAGGTGCTCAGTGGTGGCCCCTACAACCATGCAGCCGATTGGTGGTCGCTGGGTATCCTGCTTTTTTCATTGGTTACTGGGAAGGTGAGATCTCGTTGCCGGTAGGCTCGGAATGTCCTGCGTGATGAGCAGATATTACTCACAATCCTTCACCCAGTGACACACGGCTGGGGTTGTAAAAGAAGGTGGTGTAGAATATATTAGATGCTTTCTGCGTGGGTTCATTTTACATTCAGTTTAAACGACTCAGAGTGATGTAAGTTTTCATAAATCCAGTCATAAGAAGCCTTGTATTTTGCCATGTAGAGGTCTAAAATTAGGCCTTCGACTGTTTTAGACATCCTAATTTATTTCTCTCATTGTACCTCAAACTCTCCTCAGTTCCCCATGCCTCCAGAGCCAGACCACTGCAGTATGCTGAGGAAGGTGAGGTGTTTTCCCTATGAAATGCCCCTCAGCCTCAGCTCCCCACTGGCCTTGTTGATAACAGAGGTAATTACACAAAGTGCAATCACCAAACTAACCATTTGATTGCATGCACAAGCAACTACTAACCACTCAGTTGGAAGATTGCAATGATATCATGACGTACGTTTCCCTGACCAGCTTTTGTGCAAAACTCCGACCCGCCGCCTGAGGACGCTCGATCGTTTCAAGCGCCAAACCTTCTTTCGTGGAACGACCTTTGACCTCGCCTTACTGCAGCGGCAGCCTGTGGAGGTAACCAATGAATGTCCCAATGTAGCCGGTTCGGTTGTTCCAACAAAGGTCCGATGGTGATTTTTTTTGTCGTCACTGTTCAGGTGATACTGGAGCTGAGAGAGAGACCGGACCGAGCTGCCAAAGCTCGGCGAGGCCTCACTTTGTCTCTGCAGCCTCTCAAAGGTTTCGACTACGACGCCTTTCTCAGCCCTCCGTCCACGCCGGACACACAGCTAGATACCGACGCACGAAGCCACGCAGCTGCGCCGCTCCCCGGCCCCACGCTCCCCCTGCAGCCTGCTCAGGAAAAAGGCCTACGTAGCGAAGTGTTTGTTTGATTGACGGTCTACAGGTTACAGTTTCCCACATTCAGTAAAAACCCAAATACGTGTTTGTGATTTCATTTGATACAGTTCAGAATGGAATGATTCATTCGAGGAACATTTCCCGCTCGTATTGGCAAGGTTTATGTTTATGGCAACGTTTTCCTTTTTTACTTGTTTGCCTTTCTCCAACGAGCACCTTCTCAGGCCCACTGGATTTGCTCAACAGTTGTGCAAGAAAGATTGCACGATTGTTGTCTACGTACTTTTCATTTCAAGTGACTGGTCATGGCCGCCCTGTTTGCTATGATAATACTTTGCTATCAAATTCACCTCACGTGAAAAAGTTATGCTATTGAAGACAATGCACAGCTTTTCTTTCCTTTTACTTTAAGTTGTATGTGGTTTAAGTAGAAATCTTCTCAAAACTCCTCAGAGAAATTAGTGTATTTCTGAACTTCTGCCTTTATTTTCTTTGTTGCATGATTTTAAAACTACAAGATGGCGCCCGGCTGTACACATGTGAGCTGAGACTGTAAGGGTTGAATGAACAACAGTATTCGGTCATCATTTTGATAGATACAAGACTTTTTGTATTCGTGAGGCTTCCGTAATCCCAACGTCATGCACTGACTGACTGATTATATTAGGATTTTGTAAAGTATGTCTTGATGTGTACCCAGAATGCTTCACAGTCTTCTTCTTCACCAAAAATGAATATTTGTAAAGTCATATTTATACATTTTATGGATGCTATTTGATGTTAAATGTTATGGAACATTGTATTTTTGTAATAACCATTGAGCACGGATGGGATATGAATAAACTCTTACTGAACAACCGCCTGCTGATGTGGAGCTTTTGTTCATGTGAGATGGCTTAAAGAAAGAGAGTCATTGCTTCACTTCTGCTATCAGTTACGCCACGTTGTTTCAGAAAAAATATTGCATGACTACTTGTTTGGGTAAGAAAAAGTATTTGGTAATGCTGCAGTGGAAATTTACTGAAGTTGCTGTACTTTAGTTCAATTTAGTATGTAAACTTTACTGCATTGTACTTTTTACTTCCCTACATTCATCGGAAGCGTCAATTAATACTTAGTTGACGGCATCATAAGATTTAAGGCGTATAAACCACAATAAACTATACAAACGTACATGTACAGTCCTTATTAAATGTTATTTTCCCTCACGGAGCAATAGTGGTTGAAAACTAAATATCAGTGGGATAGTCTCTATAAGTCTATTCCAACCAACATGTCTAAACTAGAGAATTAGAGGTACACTGTGTGACTTGTAACATGTATTTCCATTTCCTTTTACCTATATGGTTTCATCCTATTTGGGAACCCCTTTATGAATATCTGGGTTAGTTTTCAGTCAAACCTGTAACTTGGATACCTGCCGTTTCTTCTCTGTATAACTCAAAACCCGTTCACTGCAAAATCACCAATACGCTTTTGCATCACTAATCTTCAAACTGGGAAAAAGAAAGAGCTGTAGACATTAAACATTTCAAATATCTTCCTGTTTTCTCCAAAGATGCACAATCATGCTGCATCCTCGCCCCCCACCTGAGTTGCGATGCTAACCCGCGCATGCGCGTTACCCATTAAGCGTCTCACCGTCACGTGACGCGGTGATGGTGGCTCCGCCCCGGCTCGAGCCTTTTGTAAAGGGTCACGTTGCGCTGCAGCAGTGAAACAGGAGACCGCACCGCATCCTCCGCACACAGCTCACCTGCTCTCTCTCTTCGCCCAGACACTCATCAGCAGGTAAGAATCGAGCCCGAGGACTTCTATTAAAACAAGAAGAGCAAAAAGCCTCAGACGCTTTTCGTGTGCTGTTGGTATTTACAGATTTTCATGATGACGCGATGCTGCTCTTACAGCATTAAGCTAGCTAACTTCATCTTATCCCCAGCTGGTTAGAAACCAATGTATTGGAACTGTCAGGAAAGGTGACCGTGGCTCGTACACCTGTAAGCTTTTTCAGCCTACACCTTTTTTTCACCGATTTTACCGTAGCGTCAAAATAGACCTGCAACAGGAAGGGCACAAAAGGGATGACCTTCAGAGATGAGAAAGGGAGGAGATTAGCCTGTTGCTTCTGCACCCTGTCTGAATCCTCACTTCCTGACATTCTATGGGTCTGTTCGGTGTGGATTGTGTTTTTAAACCAGGGTGGCAGCAGTGTAGGCGGCCTGTCAGTGTGTATCTGTCCCTGAGCACGTAGACCATCGTGATGTGATGATTTGGAGGCGGGGCGACCCGAGCTTCTGCCTTCACACGTCGACACAACCAGACTTCATCTTTAAATAACAGCACTTTAACATGAATACATAATTCATTTGTGGACTTGGGCTTGAGATGACAGACAGACCATTTTTTTTTTTACTATTTTCTGACTTTTTTTTTAGACCAAACGATGAATAAATTGTGCTGTGGAAAATCTGCATAGCATTTAATCATCTGCATCTTATCTCTCATCGATTAATAGTCTGATTATGAAATATGAAGATATTCAGTTTACATTCAAAGATGGCTACTAAACCTGTAACAAAAGAACATTTTTTTTAAATCAAAATGACCACCTCCCTCTGAACTGCGATGCATGCGGCCTGGTTGTCTGGTTGCTGCATGCGAAACCGTGCTGCTGGTAGCTCTGCTGGATCAAGTCCTGAGGATGGGATCGGTGCAGCCAATGTGGCGTCATGCACTGCCCCGATGGGGCAAGCACCCAGTCTGGTAACACAGTACAGCACTCCAAGCAGGCTATGTTTGCCTACAGCTTAATACTAGGAAGATGTAGTACACAAGCTTATAATGTAGACTTATGCTTGCAATAATTCCTTTAATGAGAAAACCTGTTGCAGCATGATTCCTGTAGATGTGGATTAATTTTGTTTGAGGATTCTGACTCCTGGCTCGCTTAGTGGGACTACGCAGCATCCGTTTTATATAAAAGGAATGATTGACTGCTAGTGTGATGTAATCACCCTGTTCCTTTTTTATAGAGTGAACGCTTAGAGTAGACGGAGGCACCAGATATTTGATTGCTGAGCGGTAAACAACTAAGTGTGTTCCGCAGAATGATTGCTGTGCACTGCATTTGACTGTTAACATGCATGCTAACAACCTTGAAGGGTTTTGCATGACGCCACACCGGGGAGTCTGCTGTTGCATCTTGATGTCGCAGTGCAGAACCGGGGTCTCTGAGATCGACCAACAGGCTGGACAATCACAGAGGGGCACATTGGAGAAACGGGGAAGACCGCTACATATTAACCTCCGCTATCTCCCCTCTTTTAAAGTGTAGACTACGTTTATTTAACGACCAATCCTACTAACCCAACTAAAATTGTCAAACGATGCAGCGGCGTCCTCCACACGGCAGGCTTCTTGGTCATAGGACCTGTCTGTCCCCTGACAGTCTGTGATGATGACGACATTATAAGGTTGCTGCTTCAAATCATGTCAGAGGGACCGTTTCGCTGGTGAGTAATAGGATTCTTGGATCCAGCGTCTCTGCGCTGCTGAAGGGCCCTTTAGCAAGAGGGAGCATTTAATTCCTTCCCGTATCTTAAATGAGTTTCATAGGTCATCAGAAATTAATGTTGAAAGTGTTGACACTAATGTATATCTCAAAGATATGCATATGTATGTGAGCAAAAGAAATGAACTTGACTTCAAGGTTACTCCTCACCTGGGCAACGAGTTAGCAGAGGCGATAGCCGCCCGTTAGCATCTCGTCTCCTTATCAAGGCCTTTATTACATTAAGGTCTTAAAATCTGTTGCCGTGACTCGTCATGGCGGTGCGTCCGCCAATAGCGGTTGGCATTAAATCAATATATCTTTACAGTTGGTGTTCCTCCATTTTGTTTTCAAAATGGCGGCTCCCTGTGTGACATTCCCTCGAGGCCTTTCAGAGCTGTCCCCAGCGTGGAGGGGCCAGTGGTGGTGGAGGATTTAGTTTTATTTTCAGGGTGTACAAGATTTGAAATGCCTCGATCTGGTTTGTTTCTATTCAGTCTTTGAAGCATTGACACCACTTGAAGTGTAGTGCCGCATACATAAATAACCCCCCCCCCCCATAAATAAAGAAAGCCCCCCAGGTACTTTTGTCATCTTGTGAATATGTTAAAAATGTTTTTTAATTTATCCACCAAACCCCATAATGTGTTCAGTAGCAGAAATGTGCACAGTCTGACTATACACAGTATATCAGTATTTTGTGTCATATATTTACCTTCAAAATCCAAATTCTTATAGAAGGAAACATTTCTAGCCTTCATTTTTTTCTACATTTACAATTTGAAAAGAGGACATTTGTTTAGAGCGCATTTGGTAACTTTTCTTCGTGTCGGACTGAGCATTGCATAAAATGTCGTTATTTTGCAATGTTTCCTCAGCAGAAAACAACTCCACTTGACCTAAAGTCGGTGAGACGGTATTGTTTAAGCATGCAGGGGCTTCACAAAAGATAGCCGGTATTTGCTGAGCATGACATTTTCTCTGGCTGGCAGTGGAGCAGTGATGACCACACACTCCGTGCCTTTGGCTTGGCCTTTTACCAAGTGTAAATAGCCTCTCTTTGTCACAGGAGAGTTGCACATGCAACGTTTTTGTCCTCCTGGTTTAACTTTTCCACTCTGGGGACAGATCGTCCCCTGCAGGACTGGCCTCTTTCATTTCACCTGCACCTAGAATTGAACTTCTAGCTGTGAGCCGCTCCTGGCAGTTGCGTAGCGTTGTCTGCACGCTGTTTCCATTGGGAGGCCAGCGCGCGTGTGTGTGTGTGTGTGTGTGTTCTCTAAAGGCTGTTATCTCATAGCTTTAAGCTGAGGATTAACACAAAGGATATGGGGAATGTCCGACTGTGTCCTACCTCTACCAACCAGCCACCGTTTCACATCCAGTGGTCAGTTCATTTTGTGTTACAGTATACAATTGATGTTCTTTATATTGTACATTTAAAATGTTTCTCTCTACAATGACAAAATAATATTATCCTAAAATGTTATTAGTCACTAAGCTGATTCCATGTGACATCCGACAGCCAGAGTAGATGAAATGTTGAAACCGAGCTACAACCAGTGACGTCATCCTCTGGGAGCGGCTGGGCCACTGGAGAGAAGAAGTCCCAGCTTGTTCCCAGGCTGAGCCGGCCTAGAAGTGGGAGTGACGCGCTTCAGGAACGCATATAAATGGGAATTTAAAAAAACTCATCTTGCATGCTTTCAATGGCCTGACTCGGTGAGGACGGCAAAAGGTTTACAGAGAGCCGGGGGGGGTGATAACCAGACACGTCCATTAATCAAATCCAAAACATAAAAGGCTAACCCTACGTGCACAAAGAGATGAAGAAAGGAAACGTTAGTGTTGCTGAGGAGAGAGAAATGAACCGTGTATATAGGAGCCCTGTTGTATAATCACTCCCCCTCTGTCGTGTGTGTGTGTGGGTTTACGTAACTGCGTATTTACAACAGAGTGCAGATGGGACTAGGGAACAAAATAATCTGGTTGGAAGTGTTAACACCTTATTATAACGCTGCTGCTGCCACCAATATGGCCAAATAACATATCAAAGAGAATTATTTTTTTTACATATTCATATTCAACCCCAGATAATATGAAACGTTCTGTCTATTTATAGCTAACTTTTGTTTACACTCAGGAAGCACATTTTCTGCACGCGTTTCATCACGACTCACCGACACATTGGATCCTTTTGTATTGTGTGACTTACAGGCCATTCTTGTAGGACTTTTGTCCCTTTCACCCCTCCCCCCTGACCTCATTGAGAAGAGCTTAGTGCTTAGATGGAGAGTAGACGAGCACAAAAAAAACGGCCGGCGCTGGGCAGCTTTCCAGGTCGAAACAGGGAAAAATGTGACCCCTTCATGGCTTCTCTCTCTTTGTTTCAGCCGCCATGACTCACCAGTATCCCGCACTGACTCCAGAGCAGAAGAAGGAGCTGCAGGACATCGCAGAAAGGATAGTAGCTCCAGGAAAAGGCATCCTCGCAGCGGATGAATCCACCGGTAAGTGTGTGTGTGTGTGTGTATGGCTGCAAAATTAGAATCTCACCATTTAAGAGAAACATCGTCACAAAATCATCCGTCCTGGTCTACTGCTCAACGTGTCCGATTTGAGTCCTGACTGAATGCCCGTGTGTGTGTGTGTGTGTGTTGCTCACAGGGAGCATGGGGAAACGTTTTAGCCCCATCGGAGTTGAGAACACGGAGGAAAACAGGCGTCGCTACCGCCAGCTGCTCTTCACAGCCGACCAGCGCATCGACAACTGCATCGGAGGCGTCATCTTCTTCCACGAAACCCTCTACCAGAACACCGACGATGGCACCAACTTCTCAAAGCTCATCCGGGACCGGGGCCTTGTTGTCGGCATCAAGGTACACAAACGCTGGCAGCACATCGCAGACGAGTACTTCAGGTCGCAGGTTAAAAACACCGTCGTCTGTTTGGCTGGTAAAACTGTAAAGACTCCAACGTGTGTGTGTGTGAAAACACAGCCTCCTTGTCGACGTGTTTAGACGCACACACAGACCTTTGCAGATCAGGTTGTGACAACAAACCGTGTGAAAGAGCAGGTCGTGACCTACATTCAGGAAAGTTGTGTTTAGTTCAGCCGGTCAGATCAGATGCTCTGCATAACATGGTGCATGTTATGCAGAGCAACATATTTTGGGTCCGTCTGTACAGGTGGACAAAGGTGTTGTGCCCCTCGCCGGAACCAATGGAGAGACCACCACTCAGGGTATGAGCAAAAAAACACGCTCCCAAAGCCTCGCCAATGCCATGCTGTGTTTCTGACGGACAGTTTGCTGTGTGTGTGTGTGTGTGTGTGTGTGTGTGTGTGTGTGTGTGTGTGTGTGTGTGTGTGTGTGTGTGTGTGTGTGTGTGTGTGTGTGTGTGTGTGTGTGTGTGTGTGTGTGTGTGTATGTGTGTGATGGAGCGCAGGTTTGGACGGGCTGTCCGAGCGCTGTGCGCAGTACAAGAAGGACGGCGCGGACTTCGCCAAGTGGCGCAGCGTGCTCAAGATCAGCGACACCACGCCCTCCGAGCTGGCCATCATGGAGAACGCCAACGTTCTCGCACGATATGCCAGCATCTGCCAGCAGGTTAGTGCAAGATTACTAAGGGTGTTGTTGGGTTAAATCTATTATTCCCTCTTTTTTTTTTTTTTTTTTTTTAAATTCATCTGGTATTAAATGTGGGGACTTCTCATGTCTCCTAGAATGGCATTGTTCCCATCGTGGAGCCTGAGATCCTTCCTGACGGAGAGCATGACCTGAAGCGCTGCCAGTACGTCAGTGAGAAGGTGAATTTACAGAAGACCGTACATATGACACAAGCCCGTGTAAACGTCCTGTAAGGTTTCCATTTGACATATATGTGTCTCTCTCTCTCTCTCTCTCTCTCTCTCTCTGTCTCTGCTAGGTCCTGGCTGCAGTGTACAAGGCGCTGTCAGACCACCACGTGTACCTGGAAGGGACTCTGCTGAAACCCAACATGGTCACAGCCGGACACTCCTGCCCCACCAAGTACAGCAGCGAGGAAATCGCCATGGCTACCGTGACCGCCCTGCGCCGCACCGTGCCTCCCGCTGTCACAGGTCAGTGACTCCATTTAGTGGGATTAAACTATATGCCATTTAAGTACATCATACTTTTCGTGTATATATTCCTGTGAGGTGAAATAAAGAGAGCATTTCTGAGACTGTTATTGCTTTTTTTGTTTGTGCTTATTTATCAGCATTATGTTCAGAAGAATAGAAACTGCTACATTTAAACAGTTTTGTATAGAACTGACCCGCTTTGCAATGACTTCAGGGTATGCCTTGCATTTAATTGGAAGGAATAAATTGGATGCATACCTGCCAAATGCTGCCTCCTTTTTGTGTATAATTAATGCCATATTCTGGAAAATTAAATGCAGGGGTAGAGCGGCTAAAATCAGGAATGAGTTGCTAAATAATTCCCGTGTTTGCTTTATTTCTGCCTTTTTTACAGGAGTGACATTCTTGTCGGGTGGCCAGTCTGAAGAAGAGGCCAGCATGAACCTTAACGCCATCAACAACTGCCCACTGGCCAAGCCCTGGGCCCTGACTTTCTCCTACGGGCGCGCCCTGCAGGCCTCCGCCCTGAACGCATGGAGAGGCCAGCCAAGCAACGAGAAGGCCGCCACCGAGGAGTTCATCAAGCGCGCGGAGGTTTGGACAAAAGCGTGAAGCGCAACGATGGTATTGTAACTTCCTGCGTGCGATGTTGTTGACAGACCTTTTTTTTGTCTTTTGCCCCCTCAAGGCAAACGGTCTGGCCGCGCTCGGCAAGTACGAAGGTGATGGAAGTGGCGCCGCCGCAGGACAGTCCCTCTACGTGGCTAATCACGCCTACTAAACATCTGCCACATTCCACTGTGGTCCAGTTATAGTCTAATATCTGCTCTGCTTTTCCCACTCACTCCTCTGCCAATCACAGGCCTGCGCTGTCTACTGTACTTTAGAGTTGTCAGAGTCAATACAAATGACATGATTAGAAGTGTATTTAACAACATGATGTGAAACTAACATTCTAAAGGGAACAGGCTTGTTTTTTTTTTTTTTTTAAACAAATCAAAACAGGACAATTTATGACTAACGTGGACAATATTTTGTGTCAGACGGGAAGTCACAGGCTGCTAAATTTAAACGGTAGATTGTGGTAATCAGTCAGTATTCAATTCATGCCTCTTCTTACCTGCCCCTGTCTTGCCTTCTCCCCAACACCATAAATCTTGAGCCGCTCCCAAGCAGGGAGGTGTGTGTGTGTGTGTGTGTGTGTCGGTGTTTCGCTTCAGTCAAAACGCAGCATTGGCTCGACCATAAAGCGCTATGTCAACATCCTGCCTGACGGGTGGACATATTGATTATTAGTGAAATCGGCATATCCATTAAGGGCCAAGAGAGCAAGACAACCAGTGAGAAAGACATTGACGTCTTGAGAACGAGTCGGTCTTTTGAGTGCTTCGTTGTACTTTCGGTAAGCCGCATCTCCAGCAGGGGTTTGTAGACCCTCACCAGGATTCATCCCAATCTAATCTTTCTGTTCACACGCCTAATAATCATCACAAAAACATATTGTGTGTCTATTCTGAGTAATAATATTATATTTAAATTACATCCAGTCATTAATGTATTCAGTTGTGTGATGGTGTCGATATTACGTGATGCTTGTGTGTGTCAGCCCCCCCTCCTGATCGCCCCAGCCTGCCCCACGGGAGACGAGATGGTTTCTAATGACATGAATGTGGACCAATTTGTGGCGTTTGAGGGGGGGGGAAAATCAGTTACTGCTGTGTTGGAATACTGTGATACTGTTTGTGATGTTAATATTGTTCTTGAATCACTTGTGTGTCAAATAGAGAAAAATAAACCTACAAACTAAAAAAAATCTCTTTGTTAGTTATTAACTGAAACGTTATTCTGCAGGCCTAACACAAGAATAATGCAATAGCTTCATTGTATTACATTAATTGGGTTTCTCTCCCTATGTTCCAGCATATTTACTTCCCGTTAATTACAGTTGTGGGAGAAATATTAAGCTCATTTACACATCACAATAACCCGCCGAGGAACTTAACACTTTACTTTTCACACAATACAGCTAAACGTTACATTTTTAGCTTAAAGGTTATACGAGAAGGTCGCCAGAAATATCCTGAGATCAGCTTATTTTAAACCGCTATGGTTGTCCTGTGCAGCTTCCAGGTGCGAATGTGCACCAGCTTTCGTTTCATGACATGTTTGTCTGAAAAGGTGCAGTCGATTGCTTTCCATTAAACCTTTCCGTAAAAAGTGCACAAATAAATGTTTTGGACGAAATTATGTAAACGCTGCTCAATATATTGCCGACCTCGGCTACAGTATCATTATTAATAAGGCTCAGCATGTCTTCATACTAAACCAAGTGAGTGAAACCGCTTTTATTAATTTTCTAATTTGTGTTTATGGACAAATATGTGTGTTTTTTAAGCCACCGCATTCTAGTAGCCAATAATTCGTTTTGTGCGCTTGAATTGTTCACTGGGTGGGCTGACGGCTACTGTCGCAGGCGTCGTTAAAACGATTGAACGTTTCTCGCCTCTTTGGTTTATTACACGATTAACTAAATTATCTTGAATCGCAGCTATACTGTTGGTATGAAGGTAAGGTATCTGGGTCACGACTTCCTTCCGCTGTACCACACAAATGGAGTGTATGAGAAGATACACGCGGGGTGAACCGCCTGTTCCGTTCGTGATTTCAGTCACATGACGTCCATGCAGATGCATACGGATAACAAACGCACCCATTCAGCTCATTGACAGAAATGGCTACCACGGAAGTCGGTGAGTAAGTGGGGTTCACAACTGAATTATGTTTTCATTCTGTCCCTCCTTCGTAATGGCAGCATTTACACCAGTTCACGGCCGTTTGTCGGAGCATGTTTCACACGCACAGCAGTGGTAGTGACACGAGAACGAGTCTTCCTTCTCCGCGTTCACACCCTCCGAAGCTAACACTTAGCTAGCCGCGGCTGCAGCAACGATCCTCTCCCTCACGTCACTATTTGTTACCACGTTATGTCTCATGCGTTATTGGGCAATTAAAAACAACAGCACTTCCTGAGAAACTTGACGAATAGAGTAAAACGCGTTATTACTCAATATTTATTCTTTACTCTGTATTCTTATATGTCTATGTAACCGAAGCAGGTTACACAGCCATTTAAGGTGACTGTGTGTTGTTATACGTTTGACGCTTGACGTTACATATTTGCATCTTAACTCTTGGAGAAAGTCTCGAGTAGTCCTTCAGTCTGACATCTAGAACATTTAGTAATTTATGGAATAATCAAGTTATGTTACCATATTCTTCAATCAGGCTGCCATGGTGTGTGCATTTAACTTATGTGTCATTGACCAGCTGCTGTAAATCCGTGTTCTTGGTTAGCCCAACGTAAGTCACAAAAGTATTTGTTATATTGATATAAAAAATAAATGTGCATAGATATAGATATTAGTATTTGGTCACAGTGGTTGTTATACAACCATAGATAAAGCAGTGTAAATGACGGTTGACAAAACATCTGTATGTAACTTACAGTGCGAGGCTCCTACATCTGTCTCACTGTCTCTGTCTGTCTGTCTCTTTCTGTCTGTCTCTCAGAGCGTAGACGAGGCCAGCTGGCGGCTCTGTCCATAGCGGTGGTGGTCATCGTCGTGGGAGTCCCTCTGTGGTGGAAAACCACTGAGACGTACCGCGCCTGGTTGCCTGTCAGTCAGATAAATGAGTTGTCCAATCTGCAGGTTTGTTCATGCTTCCTGTTATTGGTTATATGTGTATACATCATATGCATTTTATCCTCAGTGTGAAATATATGTTAATATATATATATACACAACTTTTTGTTTTTGTTTTTTACATTTTCGTAGCTGCAGTTGAGTGCTGATGTGGAGGTTGTGTTTGCACGTGGAACGGTGACACCGGAGCAGCAGAAGAAGGTCCCACTCACACGGACGCAGGATGAGGAACACTCAGTGGATGGTGATTTATTCATTAGTGGATGTAATTGGTTTTACTTTTGGTTACGCAAATACAAAGACTGCGAGTTAAGATTTTTTTTCTCTCTACAGAGGACACAGCTTTACGGTACAGGTACGAGACAAGGTACCGGACAGCTACAATCATGGAGGAGGACGCCCTGGATCAGCCCACTGCTGCAGGCGAGTTGTTGTCTGCCTGTCAAATTGAGCCTTCAGCTCTTTTGTTAACTTGATGTGGGACCACAGGACATAATTTTTCCCCTCGTTCTTCTGTTATAGAGGCAGATCTGTCTCTGCACACACTCAGCGAGTGTCCTTGTGGCTCTTTGGTCGTGTATGTGATCCCAGAGTCTTCTTCACTGCTGCCTCAGGTTAAAACTACATTAGTTTGTATTTATTCATATCATCATCATATCATTCAAACAAGCCCTCAAAACCCACCTCTTCAAACTCACTTTCAAATGCGAACCCCTACTGACTCATTCTCCTGTTTTCTCACGGTCAATTTTTCTTTGCTTCCTCTTATCCGTTCGTTTCCCTTCCCTTAGATTTACAGTGTAAAGCGTCTTTATGTACCAAGAAAAGCACTATTAAAAAAAACTGTATTATCATATGTTAGAGATTAACTTCTAACGGTGTAAATACACTACCTCCTGCACAACTTTTAAACAGAATGATGAGTCTCTCATGAGACGCTGGAGAAGTAGTAGGTAACATACCGATCTATGCCTTCATGTCTTTTCAGGATGTGGACGTGTACATCGGTCAGCGACGGACAGCTCTGCTGCGCATCGGTGGCCAGATAAGAGTGGGCAAGACTTTAGATCTGTTACTGGCTCATCTGGAGCCTCGGATCAAGCAGGTGCTGCAGGTGATGTCTTTTAGCCACACCGACATCACCGCGGCCCTCAGCGACAGAGTCCGTCTCAGTCCTGGCAACAAAGAGAGCATCGCCGACAGTATGAGGACCTTTAAATCCAGCCCAGGTTGGTCTTCGTTTTAGCACAGCCATAGATTGGACTAAAGTGGTCTCTGCTGTCTTGCATATATTTTAACTATGAGAACTGTGTTTTATCTTCATTCTTATCTTCTTTTTAGGTTATGAGATAACATTCAGTCTGCTGAACCCAGACCCAAAGTCACACCGGCTACACTGGGACATAGAGGGTGCCGTGCAGACCTACATCCAGCCTTTGCTTACAAAACTGGCGTCTGTGGCCAACTTTAGCATTGACTCTCAGGTAATGTGTGTGAATGTGTGAATGTGCACCATTCCCTTTGGCCAGAATGATGAATGAACATTCCTTACAGACTTTGTACTACGCCATGCTCGGTGTCAATCCGCGCTTCGACAGCAGCCTCGGTGCTTACACACTCAGCCCTGACAGCCTTGCACATATGATCAACCCTGTGGAGGCCAGACTGGGTAAAAGAAAACTGCGCTCTGAATGTATTTCAAGTATGGTGTAGTCTATCCTGACGTGTTTATGTATAACTGTGTTTTTTTGCTTTTAATTCTAAGGCTCAAATGCTGCATCTTCCAACCCGGTGTTGAATTTCCTTCTGTATGTCCCAGATGCCCAACATTCACCACTTCACATACATGACAGCAAGAAACAGGAAGTGCCCACTAATGCGTTTCACTCTCCACGTTGGGGTGGAATTATGGTAAAATAATCCTAAAGCATCATTGGGGTGCAGTTGCATGAATACTCTGAATTTAAGTGATTATGTCATGTATTACAAATATTTGTCTTGGGTATGTAGTGTTTGTGTACCAAATAATTAGCCAAATAATGTCTTTTTTATAGGTTTATAATGTTGATGGTTTCTATGGACCAGAGGCTGTATTCCCTGTTGACCTCAACATCAACATGGCCAAAGTCATGGGGGTATTTCTTGCACAGCTTCGGTAAGTGGACACCTACAATACGACAGATGTCGCTTTCCATGTAAACACGAGGTAACTTTCCTGTACCACGTCCTTCCAGACTGTTGCTGGGTGTGCAGTCGCCTAACGCTCCCTCAGGCTTCCTTGTGGCGCCGTGCAGCAGGACGGGACTAGCCGACTGGGAGCTGGACCGTCTCATGTGGAGTCGGAGTGTGGAAAATGTTGCAACGGCAACCACAACCATCACATCGCTGGCACAGCTATTGGACCAAATAGGCAACATCGTTATCAATGACAACATTGCTGAACAGGTAAGACACTTGCAGTAATCAGTAGGTTTCTATTAGTTGGCTTTTTGTGTAGAAAATATGTGTAGGTGTATATAAACCAAAAATATAATATGCATGGAAGAAATGGATGCAGCAGTGTCCTCCCCATTGCACTTTATTACATTTTTCTTAGAATTAACTAGAATACTAGTTACATTGCTCTTCATGTAATGCAACGCAGCATAAACCCTTACCATATATATTTAATCAATGTGAAAAAATTCATTTAACTGCTACTTTAAACTACCACAGCAGCTTCCATTTTGATTGCAAAAGACAGGGAGGGGATGGATATGAAAAACGCTGCTGTTTATTGAGGGGGAAAAAGTATCCCTTCCTCAACATAACACTGCTTGTACGAACACAATGTCATGCCGATTACCTCAAAAGAAGTTGCCCGTTATACTAGTCTGTTATCATATTTGCATCAGTTATTTCCAACCAGTGATTGCTGTTGATGCTCCACAGGTGTCCAGCGCTGTCACGTCTCTTCAGCTGGCTGTGGCTGAGTTAGAGGCCGGGAACCTCCGCTTTGCTCTGCAGTACAGTAAAGAGGCCATCCTGGCATCAGAAAGGGCTTTCTTTGACCCTTCACTTCTCCATCTCCTCTACTTTCCAGATGACCAGAAGTTTGCTATCTACATAC